TTTTAATAAATTTTGAAAAAGATTGGATTACTTGAAATAAATTATTGAGAAAATAAACACGGTTAATACTATTAATTAACAAATAATAAGGAACCCTTACTTAGTTTATTATGAATTTTCTTAGAAAAGCCAATAATAACTGCAGCCTTTATTCTCAGCAAATTATTTTCCAAGATTTGAAGCTCTTATTTAAGTTATCCGGACTAGTGAGTAAGGATTCACCTTCAGTCTTAATTAATTGCCAAGTCGGAATCCTCACAAATTACTTATCCTTTATCATTTGATAAAAGCTTATTACGAAACTTGGATCTAAATATAAGCGGCGTCTCCATTGTCTCAAGACTACTTTTTAGTTCTTCAACATCCCCTTTTATGTGAGTGTGGTCGTGGAAATTAATTTTGAGCTGCCATTCCAACGGTTCCACTCCTCTACCTACCTACCCGCCTACCTACTTTACGCAGACGACACAAGAATCATCACAGTCGTTTTATCTCATGTCAGCTTGAGCGACGCGCTAGCTCACCACGTTTCTGCTCTTTCTTTCTTTCTTGGAATTATGTTGCCAGGCAGCAGCGGCAGCAGCAGCTACCGGATTTCAATCTTTTCTGCCCTTCTTTTTTCATCATTTAATTTAAAAAGTCACCCTCTCTCTCTACCTGTGCCCTCGCTCAAAGTGGCTCTCCTGATTGGAAAATTAAAACGACGCTGCAGTTTATTATGGTGAAGGCATCGCGTCTCGCATTCTAACGAGTGCACTTTTTCCCCGATCTGCAAGGGAAGTTGTTTGAAAAATTGCTCGGCACCTCCCTTTTTTACACAAGAGATAATGTCGTCTAGAACTTTGCTATTAGTTTGCATGCCAATCTCTGGACGACGTTGAGATATTGTCCGGAATTTGCAATTGCAGATTAAAGGCTCTGGGATGGAATTGGACAGAAGGAGCTTTTTGAACTTTTCCACAACTTTCTTTCAAACTGATAAAGTAAACTTTCGTTGGAAAAAAGAAGTGCGAGTAGTGGAATTTGCACCATAAATTGAACCTCTAATGTCATTTTCCATGGGTTGATTGACTTGTTATTATTAGTTCCTCAATTCCTTTCTTTGATCACAAAGAGACACAATTAGTCGGCGGCAACATTTCAATAATAATAAGTCACTCGAAGCTGGGGAGGAGAGACGCGCTCAGCAACATTGATTTTTATTTCAATTAACCCGCACTCGCCGACAGTTACCTTTCGTTCTTTCTTTTTCCTGCCGGCGAGCTGAATTATGGACGACGGCCTCTCGGTCCGTGCTCGAAATGCCCAATGACTCTTATACTTGTTCTGTCCGCACCGCTGCTGACTTTAGAAATGTTGTCATTAGCCACCGACCTCTTCAGAGCGAGGGAAGATTTTTTCTTCTTACAAGAGGTCGCAAAAATTGGTATCATCTAATTACCAGTAAAAAAAAATTATTTCCAGCCATATAAAAATTGTTTCAGCACGGAATAAGATTACATTAAAATGTTTATTTTTTTACATAATTGATCAAGTGGAAGATGCAGCTCGAGACTTATAAATTGTAATCTACTACAATTTTTTACTTCTGCTTATTCAGACCATAAACACTTATAATTGTCGCCTTTCTTCCAATGAATGAAACTATTGATCAATGCAAATTTTGAATTACAAATCTATCAAATAATTTAAAATATACATACATATGTAATCAAATCCTAATGGTTCATATAATTAACAAATTTTGTTACCTTTTTATTCATGCATAAATGTGTAAATGTGAGAGATAATGGGAAAAATCCGCGTGAGACGAAAAGTTTTTAAAACATTTTTATGGCCCTGGTTAAAAAATTCAAGCTCATTAAACGCAGTTCATCTTGGCCAGCGGTGGCAGCGCGTCGCCTGCATTTTCGTGCGTATTTATGAACACACACGCGGTGCCTTAAATTCATTATTAACGCTCGGGTCGGGTAATGCACGCGTAGTCGCGTGAATATTTCATGCGGTTTGCGCGGCGCCGAGTATGAAAATGTGGTCAAATGATGAATGCGAGGCAGAGAGAGAAAGCAGGGCCTGTTTATTTATTTATGCGCGATGCAGCAACTCATTTCTAACCTTTTAAGGCATTAGTATAATAATAAAACAATTCCGCGGTTAATTTGCACGGCGGCGGGATTATACGCCAGCCGGCTGCCGTTTCACTCTCGCCCATCCTAAGCTGCCGCTAAATGCGGAAGAAATTTTCGCAGAGAGATAGAACAAGCAAGCAGGGTCGAAAGAGGGTCGCTCTGCACCACCACAACAGCGATGTGGGGTTTTCGCAGCCTCGGCCCTACAATTACCTCCAATGCTTGACACCAATTTAAACATAATCGTTTTTGAAGGGAATGGTGCAAATGGAAAGATGGAATATTCAAGCAATTTTATCAACTCCGAAGGAGAGAAGAAATGATTTTTTGCTGAATATTTATATGAAATTATTATAATCTTAAAATGAAAATGTCTAAATTTGTCACTGAAAACGTTGAATATTTAAAAAACTTGACTTGAAAAATTTTGAAAAACGTAGTTTTACTTTTTTCAAATCAGAATTTTGTGAGGATCATGGAAGTGAGGGCAAAATTGAAATCCAAAGCTAACACAAAAATCTGTATCCAACATAATTTGAAATTGCTTATTTATTTATTTATTTTTTTTTTTTTTGCTCAGAAACATTTAAAGATCTCTTCATCAACGCGATATTGTGCATGATTTTTTTTTTTTTTTTTTTTTTGAAATTTTAGGCGTGTAAAATTACGTTTCGCGACTCCTAAAAATTAAAACTCCCAATTTTTTTTTCTCTTTTGTAGAGAAATTATATTCGCTAAATCTATTAATTACACTTAACAAATAAAAATGAAATGTAGTTAGGGAACAAGAAAAATTAAAAAAAAGTTTATGATTTTCTTTCATCTGGTGTTGCCCAAATATTTAAAGACCTTTTCATCAAAGGGAAATTGGTAAAATAAATCTTTTTCTTATGGCTATCAAAACAGATCCAACAGTTTTGCACCGACGAAAGAGTTGGATCCAATTGGATCCAACAGTTTTGCACCGACTGCTGGTAGTGCCGGCAGTGCTATTAGTGATTTGACGGATTTTGAAAAACGTGATTTGAAGAATTTTAATAAACGTGATTTGACAAATTTTGAAAATCTCGAATTTTAAGAGACGAGATTTCTGCTCATGAGTATGCTCACTTTCATGTACTCAATGCTCATGCTCAATAGACCCTTGCTCAAGAGTTAAATTCGGCTTATAATCTTGCTCATGAGCAGGTCATGCTCAGATTATCTGGAAAGTTTATATTAAAGTGCATATTTTTTCATCACGGGTTTTTTCAAAAACTTAGTTTCCACCCTCAGTTTCCAAACTCTTAATAAAACTTTTTCATTTTTTTATGTTAATAATTAGATTGTTTTTGTCAAACGTAAAAAAAAAATATTACTCAGAAAAGTGCACATATTTTCAATCTATAAAATCAAACGTATTGAAAATCTCTCAAACTCTTGTGCCCATATCGAGCAGCAAAGGGACTCTTGATGTTTTCAAGAGTTTGGGGAACCTCTCGAATTTTGCGTCAACCTTCGGCCCCAGGTCGGCACAAACAGAATGAAGCCAGAAAACTCACTCACTCTCGTTCGTTCGTTCGTGCGCTTTCATCTTCGTCTTTTTTCGCCTGCGCCTTTATGGCCCCGCTAAAGGAGCAAATGAAATAAGCTGCAGCGAGAAAAACTTTTACCCCCACACCCTGTACACAATTTGGCCTCCACCGGCGTCGGCTGCTTCTTCGGCAGCCGCGCGTCACTCACGCACAGCATTTCTACGTACTTTGGTAGCGACGACTGATTTCCTGCGCGTCTCTTTGCACAAAACCAAAAAGTAGTATTTTCTGCTCCTCTGGCGCGTCTGACGCGTCGCACAAAAGAGCCGGCGAATAAAATTTATCAAATGGAAATTTCGGCGTGCTCCCGTCGTCGTCGTCACCGCAATATTGTATATTAGGGCGCGCGCAAGAGAGAAAACGCCGGGTAACAGATGTCATATTTAGCCGCACGCAAAAAGCAGCCCTCGCCCGCCGCAGCATCCGCCGCGCTAACAGTTGTCGTGCTCTCTTCGCGCAAAAACGGCTCGCATTTGGATTTTTGTTCAAGTGGAAAAAGTGACAGCTTTGCTGGAATCTCTCTATTCAGGCGAATGTTCCATTGTAATTTGTCACAAAATCAGACCGTTCATAGTTAATCATTTCAAATTATTATTAGAAATATGATTTTTTAAATTTAAATGTGATAAATTCGTCAGAACGAAGGATCTTCTTTTAGATATTTCACACTTTCCTGTGTGTTATTTCTAAAATATTAGCAAAACTGTGTGTTTATTCACAAATCAGGTCATAAAGCGTGAAAACCAATTACTCTAAAGAGGAATAAACGGCAACACTTCAAGTAAAACAAAATAGGTCAGAAAGTATTTTATAATAATTTTAAATTCTTTTATAATGATCACTTGATCAGCAAGCATATAATTAGAATTTTTTACTCTAATTATTTAATATTAAATTTATTGAATATATTTTTAAAACAATATAAATTTTGTACGCATATTTTACTTTTAAATTTAAATTATAGGCCAAATAAAGATGATAAAACATTATTAAATTCAAATTCAGATCAACTAAAAAGATTATTTATTATCACCAGTCAAGACTGAAAATTAAAAGATTTAAATAATTATTCTTACATTTCATTGGCAGTACAACTGTTACATTCCATTTTATAATTATGATTTTGATTTCTCTGAGGTTCAGACCTTTGAATTGCAATAAGAAAATATTATTAGTGAACATTTTTACATATTTAAAATTTAAAAAAATTCTTGCTTCAGTATTGTTTATTAATTGTTTGCATAGAAACAGCTTAGGGAATTAAGAAATAACTATAGTTAACAAAATTGTGTTTCAGGTTGCGTGGATGCACTTTGAGCAGTCGGCAATCCTGACGGTGCACAACCACGTCATCACCAGGAATCCGCGCATCTCGGTTTCGCACGATAAGCACAGAACATGGTTTCTGCACATCAACAACGTGCAGGAGGAAGACAAGGGCAGATACATGTGTCAAATCAACACCGTGCAAGCCAAGACGCAGTTCGGATACCTCCACGTAGTCGGTGAGTGCATGGAATAACGAGGGTGGAAAACACATTAACTTCCCCGCGCGCACATTCACACACGCGACTTCTTGACATTATGGAACCGCTCGGAAAGCTCGTGGGTGTAAATGTAAAGTGGGACGAATTCGCTGTAACGGCAAAAAGGAAAAGAGTAAATTTTTTTGCCAAAAACTAGTTTTGCATACTTTGACCTTTCCAGTTAAAACATGCAGGGAAGTGGGAAGTATACCAACACCAACGATTCATTTAAAATCGTGTAAAAACAGGACCAGTTTTCCTGATTCTATGACAACGTAGATTTTCAAAGTTCACAAAAAAAAAATACTATCTTGTGCTGACAATGAGATTTTCAGATAAAATATAATAAAAATAATTTTGTCAATTATTACCAACAGTAAAAGTTAACATCCTACGAAAAAAAACTTTCAAAAAATCCTGAAAAGTGCCTCAAAAATCATCTTTTTTAAAAAGAAGTAGAATAAAAATGGTTTTAATTTTAAATTCGCCATTACAATTATACCATTTGCAGAGATAGTCAGAATTATAGAAAATTAAATTAAAAAGATTTCTCGGTGCCAATCTAATTTTGATAACATTTGCTATTTTATTATGAAATAAATTAACATAATTACGTTGTTAATTAAAGAGGCTTACCGGAAGCACTAAAAAATTCATGAACTTATTAATTATAAAGCCGCAAACACTGAATTTGTCGAAGCCCATTGGTGAAAAGTTTGAACTTGCCGAAGCCCAGTGCATATATTGTCGGAAAAAGTTTCGCTCGGGGCGCATCGGTGGAAATTTCTTTGACAATTATTGAACTTCAACCCTCCCGAGTGGAGCGCGAAGCCGGCCGAGGTCCTTTCTCCCCTAGGCGTAAAAAGTTGCCGGCCTACCATCACGGCCTTAAATGAAATCTGCGCGCGCGAGGACGGGGGTGAATTAAAAATTTATCCTGCGGCGCGAATGCAGTTTTAATGGCGCACGTTCCGGGTGTAGCATTTTTCTATATTTAATACAGGCTCAGCAAATTTAAATTCCGCAAGGGAATCGTTTCGTAATAATATAAATGTCGTCGAAAATAAAGAATAAGAAGGGCCAAGTATAATGTTTTGGTTTTATTACTATCCGGCAAAGATGTTCCTTCTTCTTTCGACGCGGCAGCTGGGCTTTCTGTGATAAAATCTCCTCCGGCTGTATTCAAAATAAATTTTTATTCCTTTGTGATGCTGCCGTAAAAGGTCATGTAATGCATGACAATGAGACAGACACACACGACGACGGTATTATAGAAGAAGAGCACAGAGGGTGCGGACGGAGAGCAGATCGTGTCACGCTCCAGACCCCCTCGTTCTCTCTCTGCGTCGACGTCAGTAATAAATAACTGGATTAAAAGCCAAACATTAACAATTCGCGGAGCAAAATCATTACGAACAAGTCAAACAGGCGTGTTTCTCCCTCTGTCTCTCTTTCTCGCTCTCTGCCTTGCACGCCATGTTTGCACTTGGCGACGTGTGCTAGTAGCAAAGTAAGTACATTTGGTGTGTGTGCTGCATAAACAGCGCAAAACAGACCGAAATTCATGCTCTCGCACGACTTGGTCTCCGTTTGATGACGAACGACGACCGTTTTATGGCGCACGCACTCGACACGGCAACAGGATTTATTTCCGCCTACATTTGCAACTGTTTTCTTATGTGTTTGTTGCGAAATGGGCAACGCACACACCGATGATAAGAAGCGCTAAAGTGATACGGGTAGGATGTTTGATCTGTTTTTGGCTTTAGTGCTTGACTGAACGGAGAGAAAATAGCTTTAGAGATGTTTATTTGAAAAATTTGGAAGGTAAATAAAGAAGGAAGTTTTCTTCAAATTTATTTAATTTTAAACTTTTTTTAAAGAATCAATTTTTTGATAATCATTTATGTGGCAATCTGCCTAAAACCGAATGTTCCTTAATTTATTAAAAATTTTTTAAAGACTTCCAAGTCCAGGATTTGCTGCCGTCCCACGCACCGCACAGGTGGAAGGAAGAAAAATTGGATATAAAACGAGATTACGTAAATCTGAGCGCGTATCGATCGAAATTTGAAAATAATAGTCTGGGAGAAATTCGATTCGTGTTTTTCCCTCTTCTTTATTGACAGGTGAGTGGGAGGCAGGACGACTTACACCACCGCAGACTTGATAATCCGCGCGACGATAGTCTCCGCCGCTCGCTTTTATGGTTTTTCATTTATATGCTTTGCGTGTGGTTTATATGACAGGCGTGAGCAACATCCGCAAAGGCGCATTCGATTCTTTTCTTTTTCGGCTCGCTTTTCCCTGCCCCTCTTCTGCGAAACGAAAAAAAAAAATACATACGTACCCTGTCGAGCGAGAGCCGGCGTGCCACCCCCGTGCTCACCCCATCGCCGTGGTGAAAAGGATAGCCGAGTACTTCATGCTGGAATGAACTTTCGAGTTGAAAAATTCCTCCTCACTGTCTCGTTATTAATTTGCTTTCGCCAACTTCGCTTCCTTAATTGGCTTCTTGAAAACTATTTTGTGAATCGAAATTTTTGCTGCTACTTCAGCGGAGGAGGAAACGACGAGTGCCAATCTAACTTATTTTCCTCTCTTCCTCTGCACTGCAGAAATTAAGCACTCTTTTTTTTTATATATACAGAGAAAGTGAACCCCTGCAAAGAAAAACAGACTTTGATTTGTCAAATGAAATGCGAGTCAAACGAACTGAAGCGAAAGTTGCCCAAGTTCAGAGAAAGGACTTTGCGCCGGACTTTCCGCTTCAGTTGCGTGTTTAATGAGCGAAATATTGACTACACAGAGTCGGCATCATTAATCAAAACAAGATAAAAAAATACTACATATAGCACAAGTATATTCGAGAGCCAAGTACTTTAATTAAATCAAGTATGAAATTTATATTATAGTTATAAATCCACGCAGAATAAATGATCTTACAATTAATTTAAAAGTAAAATAGGTGTTTAATGGAAAAATTTATTGTGTAATCATACATTTTTTTTCCAATTCCAATAATCTCCAAAATCATTGTAAACTAACGTTAGCACAATAAAACAATTTTTTAGCAAGTAGTTTTTTTCTTTTTAATTCTTCTAAAACTAAAAACAAACGAATAAAAAAATTATTTGAAATCCGAGTTCCTTTTCTAAAAAATTATTGACGTCATTTATTGTCAAAAGAAAAATCAATTTTAATTCAAAAGTCATCGTTTTCAGCCAAAAACATTACATCACTGAAATTGTTGTGTTTCTCATTAAATTTGCTTAGTGATAGTATCAAATCAATCATTTATATTTACGATGAATCGCTGCATGAGAGTATGTTAAAATAAAAGGAAAATTCTAAATCTCTGGAATAATGAAATAGATTGTACAAAAAGTAAATATTATTCTTAAATTTGTTAAATCAGAATAAAACATTTTTTTTTTAATAATGTTTATTTTAAGAATTAGTTAGAACAAAATGAAAGAAGTTTAGAAGTACGTAACCAAGTCTTGAACCAAGTTCAACTGCGGTCTTTTAGATCTAGAAATAGAAGCAAACTTTTTGTTTGTCGTAGTGCCTCTGTGAACAATTTCATTTTTCAAAATCAGATTTAAAAATAAAATAAAATGTTAATTTAATTTTTTGTTTTACTCATAGTTGATTTAATTAAATTTACACGACATACAATTTAGATATTCTAAATAAATAATGATTTAATGAAATTATTAAAATATATTTTGCTCTAAAATATTTTCCAGCATAAAATCGTTCAATCGACTCACACGATTTGCAACCTCTGGCATTCGCCCTCGCGGCGTAGTCTCGGTGTTGGCACGGTGCATCGCCTAATGAGTCCAATTAAACGCATGACACCAATTACATACACACACAAGCCATCTTCAGAATCAAGAGAGCGTGGCCGAGGTACCTCTGCTCTCCATTAAAACTTAATTGCTCGCGCGTCGTTCGGCGACAATAAATTAGACCGTCGGCTGAAAAGTGGAGGCTGAAACGAGAAGGGGAAAAGAGCAAAAAAGGGAAAAAGAAGAAATTCCCGGCGGCACAAGCAAACCCTCTCGCAGAAATGCGGTCGCCGCCGGTGAATGGGGTGCATCAATGTTGCCGCTGGATGCGGTTCAATGGCAAGAGGAATCTGGTGCCGCCTTTCAGGCGCCGCTGAATAGAGCCAGGTGACATCATTAAAATGTACATACGTGTTTGTGAACCCTTCCTTGCCCACACATTTGCGTATTCACTCGTCGCAAGATTTTTGCAGTCGCATCCGAGAGCTGAATGCGTTCTGCAGGTTGAAACAATGCCACTTAGCTGGCAATTTGAATGTGAATGCCGCGCAAACTTTGGTTATTTGTAACACCCAAAGCTCCTCTTAATCGGACGACGACGACGACGCCTCCTTTGTTTGCAGCCGCCGTCGCCTATCGAGATTATTTCCACTGCCGTGCTCTTTGCAAAGCGACGGGGAAGAAAGAGGGTGGCGTTGACTCCGAATAAACGTCGTCTGTTTTCGCGTTTGTTGTTTACTTAGATATTCACGAGTGAGAAAAATGAGCTGATTAAAACTTTTTTTAATTTTATAATATAGTTGCAGGGAATATTTTAAATGGATGAAAAATATGAGGAGGATAATTTAACATAATGAAATGATAATGTTAACAGCAATGTTATATTTCGGGATGACTATTATGATGGTAATATCCCCCATTACACCATTTCCTTTCAAATGCGAAGAAAAATAATTAATTATTTAAAGCACTGCTATTAAAAATTGCGTCAATCATCAAAAGTTTGATAAAAACGATCATATTTACGGCTATGGTGAAAAACCTGAGTATTTTCAATCACATTGGGGGAGATTTAATAGACTTAGCTCTCCCGGAATAAAAGATATCCCGAGATAAAACTAAAGGGATTAAATTTAAACCACCGTCCTGGGAAAAATATTTTTAATCCCGCCGCAATTTTTTATCCCCAAGTCAATGGTGATAACTTTTCGTAGCACCCTCAACGCGGGACAAACATTTAAGCCACGCTAAAATCAAATCACCCGATTCTTAAAAGATCCTCAACATGCTCAACATGCCGGCACTACCAGCAGTGCCGGCACTACCAGCAGTACTGTTGGATCAAATTGGATCAAACTCTTTCGTCGGTGCAAAACTGTTTGATCAAATTGGATCAAACTCTTCCGTCGGTGCAAAACTGTTTGATCAAATTGGATCAAACTCTTCCGTCGGTGCTAAACTGTTTGATCAAATTGGATCAAACTCTTCCGTCGGTGCAAAACTGTTGGATCAAATTGGATCAAACTCTTCCCTAGGTGCAAAACTGTTTGATCAAATTGGATCAAACTCTTCCGTCGGTGCAAAACTGTTTGATCAAATTGGATCAAACTCTTTCGTCGGTGCAAAACTGTTTGATCAAATTGGATCAAACTCTTCCCTAGGTGCAAAACTGTTGGATCAAATTGGATCAAACTCTTCCGTCGGTGCAAAACTGTTTGATCAAATTGGATCAAACTCTTCCGTCGGTGCAAAACTGTTTGATCAAATTGGATCAAACTCTTTCGTCGGTGCAAAACTGTTTGATCAAATTGGATCAAACTCTTCCGTCGGTGCAAAACTGTTGGATCAAATTGGATCAAACTCTTCCCTAGGTGCAAAACTGTTTGATCAAATTGGATCAAACTCTTCCGTCGGTGCAAAACTGTTTGATCAAATTGGATCAAACTCTTTCGTCGGTGCAAAACTGTTTGATCAAATTGGATCAAACTCTTCCGTCGGTGCAAAACTGTTGGATCAAATTGGATCAAACTCTTCCCTAGGTGCAAAACTGTTGGATCAAATTGGATCAAACTCTTCCGTCGGTGCAAAACTGTTTGATCAAATTGGATCAAACTCTTCCGTCGGTGCTAAACTGTTTGATCAAATTGGATCAAACTCTTCCGTCGGTGCAAAACTGTTGGATCAAATTGGATCAAACTCTTCCCTAGGTGCAAAACTGTTGGATCAAATTGGATCAAACTCTTCCGTCGGTGCAAAACTGTTTGATCAAATTGGATCAAACTCTTCCGTCGGTGCAAAACTGTTTGATCAAATTGGATCAAACTCTTTCGTCGGTGCAAAACTGTTTGATCAAATTGGATCAAACTCTTTCGTCGGTGCAAAACTGTTTGATCAAATTGGATCAAACTCTTCCGTCGGTGCAAAACTGTTGGATCAAATTGGATCAAACTCTTCCGTCGGTGCAAAACTGTTTGATCAAATTGGATCAAACTCTTCCGTCGGTGCAAAACTGTTTGATCAAATTGGATCAAACTCTTTCGTCGGTGCAAAACTGTTTGATCAAATTGGATCAAACTCTTCCGTCGGTGCAAAACTGTTGGATCAAATTGGATCAAACTCTTCCCTAGGTGCAAAACTGTTGGATCAAATTGGATCAAACTCTTCCGTCGGTGCAAAACTGTTTGATCAAATTGGATCAAACTCTTCCGTCGGTGCTAAACTGTTTGATCAAATTGGATCAAACTCTTCCGTCGGTGCAAAACTGTTGGATCAAATTGGATCAAACTCTTCCCTAGGTGCAAAACTGTTGGATCAAATTGGATCAAACTCTTCCGTCGGTGCAAAACTGTTTGATCAAATTGGATCAAACTCTTCCGTCGGTGCAAAACTGTTTGATCAAATTGGATCAAACTCTTTCGTCGGTGCAAAACTGTTTGATCAAATTGGATCAAACTCTTTCGTCGGTGCAAAACTGTTTGATCAAATTGGATCAAACTCTTCCCTAGGTGCAAAACTGTTTGATCAAATGGATCAAACTCTTTCGTCGGTGCAAAACTGTTTGATCAAATTGGATCAAACTCTTCCCTAGGTGCAAAACTGTTTGATCAAATTGGATCAAAATCTTTCGTCGGTGCAAAACTGTTTGATCAAATTGGATCAAACTCTTTCGTCGGTGCAAAACTGTTTGATCAAATTGGATCAAACTCTTCCGTCGGTGCAAAACTGTTTGATCAAATTGGATCAAACTCTTCCGTCGGTGCAAAACTGTTTGATCAAATTGGATCAAACTCTTCCGTCGGTGCTAAACTGTTTGATCAAATTGGATCAAACTCTTCCGTCGGTGCAAAACTGTTGGATCAAATTGGATCAAACTCTTCCGTCGGTGCAAAACTGTTGGATCAAATTGGATCAAACTCTTTCGTCGGTGCAAAACTGTTGGATCTGTTGAATACAATGGCATTGAAATAAACTATATTCGCTTAAACTAACTAATAAAAGATTTTCAACGGAAAAAATTATTTCTTTTATATAGCAGAGTTTTCAAACTATAGTTTTTTAGTAAAATCAAGATTTTACTACTGAAGGATTCTTATTGTTTGCAAATTAAATAAGTATTTGTCTTTTCAACTCGTTTCTTCCATCTAAGCAGGCCATAGATATCAACTTGATTTCATGTTTTACGTTATCAGTTATTAATGTCGACTATAAATCATTACGTTATTGTTGTTGTCTTGTTTAATAAAAAATTTTCATGATTGTAAAATAATGTAAAATTATATTGTATCGTCGGATCTTGCGTGGTTCCTTTTATTTTTCTTTGCGTGAATGGTCATGTTTATTTATTTCAGAATTTTTTCCTTTTTTCCATTTCAGTCTGAATTGATGTTAAAGCACTCTTCTATAGAAATTCTAGTAATTTATTTTAGTATTTTTATTTTTTAATTTATTAATATTTTTGATGATTAATCAGATGTGCTATTTTCAAATTTATCTTCAATGGAGAACAAAATACTAAACTAAATTCCGTATTTAAAAAAAAAAAATGTGTAATATTATGATTTTACCGAGGGTGCTTTTCCCAGATTGATGGCTTTTCAGCAAACCTCTCGGCTGATACATAATCAAAACCGCTTTTGAGCCGGTGATTGCTCTCACCGCGGCCGATTGATGAAAAAGCAAAAGTCAATTAAATGACACAATGAGGAATGAATAATGAACGTGTAACAAGCACTAGAAGTGAGTTGATTGGCCATTTACCGCCGCGCGTGCCATCAGCGAGAGGCCGATTTTTGCCGGGAAACAATATTAATCGCTCCGGTGGCGGTGGCCACGGGCCCGCGTTTTAACAATTCATTTGTGATGACAGATTGAATAATAAATGAAACCATAAATATCGGCGGCAAGCGGGCGCTGCGTGTATACGCCGATTCTATTTTATTGCTGGCAGAGAGCAGGGGCGATGATGCAACCGGCAACGCACACCTCTCACAATGCGGCGCGCAATTGAAGCCAACTGCCGTGATTTTACTACGCCCGTGGGACCAAATCGATCGGCCCGAGGCAACCAACCCTCCCATCCGCCGCCAGCACATCCCAGACGAATTTGTACATTTTTTATAAGGAATTATATCATTTTTTTTGCGCGGTCTGCACGCAAATCGGATGTGAGTGTTGCCAACCAGCGCATCGACCTTTGCTGGTGTCAGCCAGGACAAAAATAGCAAAATATTTAAATAAATAACACGAATTGTATTTATTTATTTAAATTACAAATTCTTTGGTTCAAATAATTATTTCTTGTTATCACACAATATATTTACAGTGAAATGACAAAATTTTCTTTTTGGGTTGTACAAAATTTGCTGTATTTTATTTATGTATGTAAACTATGAAGTTTTTTAATTTAAATTTAGGTTTACAAATAATTGCAACTTCGTGAGGTTAGGTAAACCTGCTAGCATTTTTTTTTTTTTTTTAATTTCAACTAACATTAAATTATTATAGTGTTATAATTTTTTCACTTTCTTCATCTCTTATTAAGCACATTTGAATCATTCAACCATGTACAGAATTGAATAATACTAGTTCATTTTGCTCAATAAATAGCTAATCTTCTAATCTTTCTATATTTGTTTACATTACAACTTCAATAAACAAATGAAGATTTGCCAGGCGTTCCAGGCACTACAGAAAAACTTCAATTTCTTCATGGAAAACTTTGATCAAAAGTAATGGAACTAGATACATTTATATAGATGAAAATTATTTTATAATAACCTTAATTTTAGGTAGTTTTAATCAGGACATATTTTCTTTAAAGCTGACAAATAAATTTACAAAATAAATAGTTTTAAATTATATGAAGTATAGTCATAAAACATTAAAGAAAAATTAAAATATTTATAAATTATTTAAAATTCTATTGATTTTACTTTTGAATTAAAAATTTTAAATGTTTTGTTTAAAATTTGTTTAGACCTTTCTATTTGAGAAGCAAGTACAGATATACGAAACAAATATTTTTTAATCATACAAGATTACAAATTATATTATCCATTCATAATATATGTCTTTTGAAATGTGATTCAAACTACTGAATCCCACGCACTTCATTGACAATGCAGAAGTATATTTTTGGACTTTGCAAACCTGATCTCAGCCTCAACAGAAACCACCTACAATCATTCAAATATCGTGTGATGAAATATTTATATATTATATTTAAACAATCTGTGAATAGATACGAAGTTATATCGCGTTTCTTTTTAAAGATCAGGACATAAATAAATTTTTGGTTTGCTCGATTTGTTTCAGTGCCGCCAAATATCGATGACGCTCTCAGCAGCACGGACGTCATCGTTCGCGAGCAGGCAAACGTGACCTTGACCTGCGTGGCCACGGGGTCACCGTCGCCCAGCGTGCGCTGGAAAAGAGACGACGGCAACAAGATCAACCTCAACAAGTCGCACTCAGGTATATTTTGAGAACGGCTCTTGAGCATTTCGCGTTTGATCATTGGTGAAATGTGTGTTGCAGTGATCGAGTACGAGGGCGAAGTGTTGGAGTTGACTCGAATCAGCCGGCTGGACATGGGCGCCTACCTTTGCATCGCTTCAAATGGAGTGCCGCCCACGGTCAGCAAAAGGATCAAAGTCAGCGTTGATTGTGAGTGTTCTTGGCCGTTTTCTTTGGCTCATAACTTGAGTTCCATCACCGAAATTACATATCAAACATTATTATTTGCACAAAACTTATCATTTTCCGAAAATTTTCATGAAATTCAGCTTTAAACACCCGTGCAAGAATGAAATTTAATAACATTATTGTATAATATATAATTTTTGGCAGCTTCTTAAGGAGGAAAGATCAAAGGAATTCTTTATTACTGCATCAGGAAATTAAAAATCTCTTCTTCGCTGCCGCCGCTGCGAGGCTTTTAAAGAGTGCGGAATTTCTTTCGTCTCTCCTATGCAAAGTCGGTGCCGCCGTTGCGCTCGATAAATTTTCGCATGTACATTTCACTTTCCAGACACGCAGAGAGACGGACTAATAGTGCATTGCAGCGCGTGAGAGACGCAACTATTTTAATAATCACAATCCTCTAGTGCTGTTGTAAAATTATATTGACCCATTTCCGCTGGAGAAGTTTGCGTTGAAGGAAGGCTGAAAACAGACTATCTGAATTCAATGCATATTCGCAACTATATCTAGTGTCATTTTTTTTATCAAAATTGATACGTTCTTACAATTAGTGCTCAAGATAAGAATAATTTAACTAACAATAAAATCAGCTATTTTCTAATTAAATGCCTCAATCTCTTGTTGGAATAATATCCTTAATATTAGATTATTTTAGTACTTTTATTAACAACTGAAAAAAAAATTAGTTAATTTTGTAATAACAATTAAGTTAATATTAAACCATGACTCACTTAATACTAATTTTTTGTTTCATCAACTTTCCATTTACTAGAAATTATTTTATATTTATATATTATTTTAATGAAATCCACGCAAATTAAGTAATCAATCAATCATATATATAATAATAAATGAAGATGCAACCGCAACCTCACAGGGGAACAGCCAACAAATTTGTTCTTCAATGTAAACTAATGGATTTTGGTTAGAGGAGCAGTTATATAAACAAAAAATATTAATTTTTTTTTATCAAATAGCATTATTTTTCAAACATTCAAAGTCAACCAAGAAATCTGCGGAAATCAAATAAAAGATTATAAAGACACTTAAAAACATAAATGTAATAAATATTTCAAAAAGTTAAATGAGAAAAAAAATTAATTAAAATTGTTTTAAATTTTAAATCATTAACTAAAACTTAATTAAAATTGAACATTAACAACTGCAAATTTTTTGTGTTTTAGTCCCACCGATGTTGTGGATCCCGCATCAATTAGTAGGCGCGCCGATCGGGTTCAGCGTGACCCTCGAGTGCTTCACGGAGGCGCATCCGACTTCACTGAACTACTGGACGCGCGAGGACGGCAACATGATCCACGAGAGCGCCAAGTACCACTCGGAGAACACGGTGGGTCCTCCGACGTACAAGACGCACATGCGACTCACCATCCACAAGATCAGCGAGCGCGACCAGGGCACGTACAAGTGCGTGGCCAAGAATCCGCGCGGCGAAACAGATGGCAACATTCGCCTCTACAGTAAGTCCGACCAGCTCGGCCCCCATAAATATCTGATTGTGCACGGGGAGAAAAGAGAGAGAGAAAGAGAGCAACGAACTAACGGCAGAAGGTTAGGCGCCGATCTGGGCCGAGAAGACAGTTTGCTGGCGCCACCTTTCCCCCTGTTTTTGCCTCGGCTCTCCGAGTCGCGCAGGCAACGATTGTTTTTATCCCCGAGCGTCGCCGCGCCTCCAGCTTTTATTAGGACTTTTAACTTAATTAAAATTTTCGTTCGTGGAAAAAAAGCATCAGCTCTGGAAATTAATAAATTGTCTCGCCCGTTTTTCGCCGTTTCGCTTTTTATCCTCCGAGACTTTGATTTATAAGCAAAAAAGGCAAAAGGTACGACGTCGTCTGTCTCTCTCTTTCTCTTTTTCTTCCCCCGCGATTTGTTCGCTCTGGAGCGGTGCCAAAAATCGGAGTCGTTGGATTTTTATGTCCGAATGATGTTACAAGTGGTAAACTTTATGAATAATTCTCTGGCCCGCCCGTCCCTGTCGTGGAATGGGTTTGTTTTCGTGCCGATTTCGCGCACCACCACCGTCCGAAATGGCCAATAAGTTTCTGTTTGATTAGATCTTGCAGAGAGTTTTCTTTGTTTTTGTCCAAAAGTAGAAATTGGTGATAATTTTTCGCTCTCTCGAAGTAGAACAAATGCTTATGAAAGACCTATACCTGCCTGGTTCGCCTGATTTTATAGTACCTTGATTTTTTCGTTCGCTTTGCAAACTTTGCCAGCAATTGTTTCCGTTTTTTTCTTTCTTTATTTCTGATGAGCTTGCTGCTTCTCCGCTGTGTGTACTTTGCTTTGCATTTTTCGCCTCGGTGCGTTCCTCCTACTCAGGCCCTTTCTTCCTTTATTTCTTGTGTGTTCGCCCGCCCGCTTTCCATTCGAAGCAGACGAACTCTCCCAAATCCGCTTACCAGAGCGGGGGTCAAGTCAAAACTTGCTCGCCTAATTCTCTTTTCAATATAAATAGCGCCGAGCAATGGCTTTATTAAAGCTGTTGCTCCTCTCTGGCCGGCCCCTTCTGCCATTTAAAACTTTTGCACTATTTTCCAGCGTCTTCGCCACCTTCTACAATCCCACCATCTACAACCACTCAAGTAGTTACTAAAAGGCTACCAGGTAGGTTTACCTTTAGATTAACACTTTCACTTTTAAATCAATCAATAAATAAAATTGAAAAGATCACAAATTCTCAGCCAAATTTGGAAATGAGCTTTAAATCAAAACGTGCAAACAAAACTTTATTTTATTGTGTTTTTCGTCTTTCCTTTTATGATGAAATTTATTGTTAGATCAAACTTTAAAATAATGTCTGAAAAATACTATTTATTTATCTAACAGTTCTGTTTAATTTGAAAAATTCAGTTCATCTAGAAATTTTTATTTCTGTTAATGAAATTGTTTTGTTGGATTCAATAATGATTCAACTCAAAAATTATTTATTATATTTTAGTATATTGTGATCTTCAAAAAGTTTTTTGGCTTTAAAAAGAAAAAAACCAATTAAAAGGAAAAAACTGCAATCATTACTTTATATTTCGATATTCATAAATTTTCCTTGGTAGAATCAAATAGAAAAAGATTTTAGAATATTAGTGCAGAATTTTAAAATCATCCTTCCTTCATAGAGCTCAGCAAACTTATTATTAGTTGAAAATTACGTCAAACCTCCTTCTTGACGGCGCATTCTATTCTAACTTGTCCATCAAACTCAACTACCGGCAAAGCACCAGAGTAAAATGCAGCTCGCTGTTAGTTTTTATGCTTTTCCGAAGAGCACAAAGTCGTTCGAGTGCAGTTTGAGTAGTTAGCAGGTGCTCTCTCGCCCGTCGCGTAACTTTGTGTAACATTAGGCCTGGTGTTATATTGCGCAAACACGCCGCGCGCCTGCAGCAACAGGAATATGCAATTTAACACTTAATCATCTTCCGTTTTGTTTCAGATCCCGTTGAAACCAAGAATAAAGGTGAGTCGGTCGGCGCCACCAACAAAGCAAAATTAATTACACACTGTACCATAACTCGGAGCGCACATTATCATCCCAAGTACACCCCCTATAACACGCGGCATGCAACAGAGCAGCGGAGCAACTTTTCAAATGCTCCTGTATCGATTTTCTGCAACTCACTCACACTAACGCGCTGCACTTTTGCAACAAAAACAAGTGCAAGGGCCGCCACCGCACACACGCTCGATCGAACGCTTATTGGCTCTGTTACGCCCAATGCAGCGTGAAAATTGGCTTTTAATTGCAACACCGCAAAACTTCCACTGTTGTTTCACCACAAATAGTGAATCCCGCAAATTGGGTTATTAGCAGCATTTTTTGCACTTTAGCAAAAATGGAAAATTGATCAATGTGCAATTAAATTGCAGTAGCTCTAAAAATTAAAATTTTCATCTTCATTTTTATCGTTGTTAAAGGTACAAAGGAAATTAAAAGATCAAAAGACAGTCTAAGATGACTGTTCTCATCTTATCGCTTATCTAAAAATTAATTATAAACAATAAAAATAAGAAGAAAATTGAATTTATTTTTAACATTGCTTTATTTTCATTTTTTATCATTTGTTATTTAATTTACAAGCATGACCAGATAAAAACTAAAATTTGAATTTTTGGATCAAATAAAAATTCAATTTCATAATCAGTGCATTTTAAGCTCGGTTAATCGAATCAGTTTATTGTGTCCTTTTTTTCCACCATGAAGCATATCGCATATTGCTCGTTTTCCGCTGATGATTTTCAACACTGCACTTTAAACCAGCTTTGTGTCAACAGCCGTATAACATTTTTTCGCCATAAAGATAACGCACGCATCCGCCCGCTTTTCTTGTTAATAGAATATAAATTTCTGGGCGGCTATAAAATTCGAGGAGGGTCTCTTTCGGCTGCTCTTTGGAGCCGCGTGTTTATTTTTGCGGCCTTCCTTCAAGTATCTCATTTCCATCCCCCTAAAATTGCCGCGGCTGCTCTGCTCGCTGCTCATTTTTTGCAATGCAACTGTTGCGCGCCTCCGCCCTCGTTCGCTCTCGGCAGCAGAGGAATTCACGATATCTTTTGACAAAAAGCCACCGGTCTTGGCGAACGACGACTTTTTGTACTCTTTATTATTTGCTTGTTATGAATATAAATATTATATGTCTCTGTTGACACAATATTAATGCCTTTGTAGCTGGCTGAGTGAGAGCTCGAAAAATTCATTTCTATGCAGATTTTTTTAAACAAGAAGGAGAAAAATTAGAATTGTATTGCTCAAGAGCAGCTCCAGAGTGCTCATTAATTTTTTGTATCTGCCCATGGCCGGTAGAAAGACTTATTTTATTGTCATCAAAGCAAGACTTTAAAATTTTTCACAATGATTTTTACATAAATTTTAATGTTACAAATACAGATAACATGAAAAGATTTTCAGATTTCAAAATTTTTTTAGAATCTCCGCAACAAAAAATTAAATTTTCTGAATTTGTAAAAAAATGTATTAAATTCTTGATTTTTGAGGATTTTTATAAATAATAATAATTTTCACTTTATTATACAATCTATTGTTTTCAATTCCCAGGTTCCAAGTACCAGCCACCCAGCATTAATGAAATCAACAACTTTGACCAGAAGTCCAACTCGCACGAGGCGGGAAAGGGCAAAAAGCAGGATTGGCTACAGAGCGAAAATGTTTGTAAGTATAATTTTGCTACAATTATTCAAATTGATTCAAATCTCTTTTTTAATTTAAAGACTATATTGGTGGTTGCGAATGTAATTAGGTTATGCTATTATTTTTAGTTACTTTTCCATTATCAGAATGAATTAAATTAAATTACAATTTATGAGACCAATTCTGAAGAAAGACGCAGCTGGTTCAGGCTCGTAAATTTTGATTTCTAATAAACTGAGTGTGAAAAATGTTAGTACTTTTATTTATAGTAAAAATGTTATTTAAAATATCTGAAAATCTCTTGAATGTACAAACAAAAGTTGCTATTTCCAAATAATTGCTATAAATTAAAATATATATATATTAAAATTAACTTTTTAAACTAAATTTTTTTTAATCGAAATATTTAAATATAAAAATTAAAACTCATTGCAATAAGTTTACTTTTAAAAAAAATGCATATAAATATAATTTTTAATTATTCAACCAAAAAGTATTGTGAGGCGCCAAGAGTTAAAGGCAACTTTGGGTTTCCCGTTGCCAAAATTGCGGTCGGTGCTGGTCGTGTTTTTCAACATTGGATGGTCTCATGAATAAGCCGGGACTAGGAACGGAGAAATGTCTCGCTGACACACAGGTTTTGATGCAAATGCGCGCGCGTCACACCGAACTGAAACTCAGCAAAGAGCGGTGTGTGTAACTCTTTCAAAGTAGAGCACACCAGCTCTCCGATTCCACTCGAGTAAATCTGGAATTTGATATATTCACGTTGTAGAAATAAATTACTGCGATGAGCCAAAGTTGGAGGGCGGATTTCTCCCCTAGCTCTCCTCTATATATATCGACGCTTTTTATTGCTGTTAGTCGGGGGCACGCAATAAATATCAAGACACATACACTTTCGCTGCCGAGCCGAGGCAATTCAATCTACTTTGCTTTGATTTGTGTCGCCGCCAGTGTATTAATAATGGCCGGCGGGATGACCCGAGCCAGGCCTAGGCTCGATCACTCGCTTCCTCTATCAGCCGGACAATAAATCACCCGATTCAATATTCAAATTGGACCGAGCGCGCCCTGTGTTGTTGGCCCATCGGTGCTGATTGGGAAAGCGTACATAATAGGAAAATTTGTGCGATTCGGCCTCTATTAGGATTTTTGTCGCATTGACCACTAAAGGGGCAGCGATTGATGTGTCCCATTACGATATGGTTATGATTTGCGTCGGCATGAGGAATTTTATCAAATTATCATAATAAAATTCCACAACATTTTCCATCGAAGCTATTTTTTCAGTAAAAAAATAAAAAAATGAATTTATGAAGAATGTTTAAACAGCCTTGATTTATTCCAGAAATTTTTCAAAGAAATGTAACATAATTTTTTGTTGGAAGAAATTTTTACATTTCAACTGCTCATGAATGCAGCATTTTTTTTACTATTCATGGAAATACCGACGCTGAATTCGAGCCCATTTTGCCTCATTTTGATTTGACACGCGTTTTATATCATCCCAGCAATAACACGGGCTGCCCACGTTTCCCCCAAATCTCGTCTTGTCCTCGTTCCGCCGTAACAATGCGCAAACGACGTGTCGGCTGTTAGGTTCTCTCTTTCGTAACAATGGTCTCGGACACCGCGCGCTTTTTGACAATGCGAACACGGGGGCACCAAATTGAGTTTTGAATATTAGATTACGTCTCAAAAGAAAGACCCGGCTGTCTTTGTGGCCCGGCCCAATTTCCGCGCTTGATGGAAAAGTTTCTTTTGTCTGCATATTATAACAATGTACTTTCTATTGAATATGAAATGTGTTTGCGACGCATTGGAAACTTTCCAGCCTCATTTGACATTTAGCCGATAAAGTTTTATGTTCAAATTTGTATTATTCGTTGCTCTATAATTTGAGATAAATAATTCAACCAGTTCCGGCTATTCTTTAACCAAAGGATTTAAAATTTAATCCAGCATATTTATTCATTTTTGTCTCCGCGGTTTCAAAAAAGTTGAAAAAAATAAAACTTTATTTTGCTACCATCACAACATTATTTTCCAATAAATTCTTTAATTCGTTAAAAATACCAAAGAAATTGTTACTATGTTTACCTTATTCTAGAATCAATTCTGCAATACTTACGTTTATTTTAAATATTTTTCATTTATGGGTTATGGGCCATCCATTTTTATATTATTATTATTTTTGTATGTTAATAAGAAACGGAATTTTATTAAATTATAAAACTTTTTCATTTATATTTTAACTTAACCGTTTTAAAATCAATTTTTATCAAATAATTTTCTTTTGTTTATCAAAATGTTCAACTGCCAAAGTTGCTTCTCAGTTGAATTTGGGTTGAACAAGCGAATCACTGGCATGTAACTTTGCTCGCTCCCCAAGCCGCGCCAGATGTTTCGGTCTACCGAGAAATTTGGCACCCGAGTCGCATTTAATTCACGATACACAATTCTCATCCGCATACATTTGCGTAAAGCCCTTTTCCGCCGAGCTAAAAGCAAAGGGGGACTGACTAAGTTGTTGTTGTTGTTGTGCCTGTTGCAGCGGCGTCGTCCGTTCCGCTGGCTGCAGGGATGGGACTCGTCGGCTCTCTGCTGCTCTGCCTTATGACAGTCAATCTGACGTTCTTCAACGACGCCAACCTCCACCTGAGGAGCAGTTAGACTGAACGGTGCTCCGGCGGCGAACGTAAGAATTTCAAAAGAGCCTCCACCACGACTGACTCTCTATCTCAAGATGCGCGTTAATTGAAAAATAAAATTAATTACTAATGGACGGTTAAAACGCAGTTTAAAAGTAAAAAAATTAAGATAACGGACAATTACTACGAAGATGTTTAAGTCAATGTTGAAGTTGAAGAGCAGAAGCGCCAAGTTATGTTTTTTATTCATCACCTCGCACTTTCTACACACCCACGACAGAGGATTTGTCCAAAACACTGCACCTCTCTATTGTATGGAAAAAGAAAAATAGTATTATTCTCTCTGCGTATATAATCTTACCACTTTCTATATAATTCTCGCTCACAAACGTGCATGTAACTTTCGATATATTTTTTCGTTCGGATCTCTTTTTCTCTATCTCTCATTGCACCTGGGGACTATTTCGGGATCTGTTTCCGAAATCATTTTCTGCAATACTCACGACACGCGTATATGAAATGTACGTTAGTTACTCTGATTGTAATATCTTGTAATATAAATTCATGAATGTGCCACAGGAATAATTTTGCGTGGATCCCCCCTCTGGTTACGCGGAGCTTTAAATATTTATGTGTTTTGTTTGCGTAATGAGTGATTTTTGAGGACATACAAAACCACCAGAAGGCGCGATTCAAGCAAAAATATACGTACTTTTAACCAACTGAGCCGTATTTGGAACAAAATTCATCTAATTGATTTTCAGAATCTACTGAAAATGATTGAATTGCATCTTTTCCTCTCAGAAAAAATTAATTAAATTTTCCACCACAACAAATGCTCAAAAAAACTATTTTTTTTTCTTTAAAAATTATACACCTAATGTCTGCGGTTTTCGGATTGATATGAAAATGTCAAATTAAAAACTTATGCGTGGATTTGTAAGCTGGAAGATCGAATAGCAGTGGAGTTTAGTGCAAGATGAGCTCAATTATATTCGTGTGCGTGGCGTGTTTCGGCAGCTTGAGAAGCGCATCCCCAGAAAAAAAACAGACCCAGTGTATATGTAGTTGCTCAACTTATTGAATTATAAATTGTTTCAACCAATTATAATCGCCACGTCGTGCGAATCAAGCTCGAAAAGGATACGCAGCATAAATGCATATATATTTTTGCAATTAATTCACGATATAGGTTTTTTCAATTCGGGAAAAACGCTTGACGTGTCCGTATATAGTGTAAAATTAATGCCAGGCGGAATTACTTAGTTTCGTCTAAATTGGGATTTTTACGAAATCCTTGTTATATATTCACATCGATCCTGCTTGCAAAGGTGATCCTCTCTTACGTAAGTGCTGTACATCACCATAATTTGATGCAGGGTAATGATTAACAAACATGTGTATTAAGAAGGTGAAAACGCATTAACCAACCTATGGAAGCATTAATATAAAAAAGTACCTTGTAAAAATATTCAAAAAAAGGAATAGCAATGAGGAAGAAAAATGTATGAACTGAATGGCTGATACTTAATTATAAAATAAATTAAACAGAAACATGCCTGTGTGATGTCGGTTAAGAAACCAAGTCATTAATAACTATTGATTTAATTATTGCTCGGAAAAGTCGGTGCCAAAGAAATCTGTGGATATTATTATGGATTTTAGGCACTAACTTTTCATAGTTTTTAATTTATATTTCCCACGTTATAAAGTTTTTAATATCTAATTTTTATTCTCTATGTACGCATCTTATCATCGACATTTCTGCGCTGAAAAAGAAAGAAAACGATTTGACTTACAAATTTCCTCTTGCACTTGAATTCAAAAGTTTGTTCATTGATACAATGGAGTTTTTCATCACATTCTTGCGTGTTACATTTTTGTCTCCTTTCATCAAAAAATCCGTGTGCCAATGTAAACAGATGACAAACGCTGCGCTTCAATCAAATCGTTTGAAAGGCAAATGAATTGACCGTAGTCTGTATTTTGGCACCGTTTTGTGTTTTCGCTCTTGGGACAAAAGAATCCACGCGATCCCGTCCTTGCTCACTAAACTGTGTATGTAGTTGGTAATTATTCGATTGCGCCCTTTGTGTTTTAAATTTAGCGAGCGATGTGTTTTTATTCTTCTCAGTACATATTAATTCGTTCGCTAATCGTCGACAAAAAAACCGAGACGATCTTCGCCTCAGCTAGACGTGTCTAGACAGCAACAATTAATTAAACAACGTTTGGCGCGAGTGCAAGCAAGAAAAAAAGAAGAAACAATTACGACAAAAATAAAATAAACGCTATTTGTTATTATGAAATGTTTACAGAAATAAAGAGAAAACCGAGATTATTAAAATGGGTTTGTGATTTTTACTCGCTCGACCCACCCTCGCTCTCTCCGCTCGGCCTTTTACACTCCCTTTGGCACGCACAAACGTTCGCGAATGGTTGCGTTCGTATTCCACGCTGCTTTTTACAGCCGACGGTGTGGCGTTGTTGTTGTTTTATAGTTTTGATTACGACTACACACCCGACGTGCGCATTTGAAAACCAAAAATAATGATGATGATGCCGCGGGATTTATTTAGTCGGCAGTAAAAATTTTATTCCTGCTTGCTGAGGTGATAAAATTCCGGCACCGCCGCGTTAATAACGCGCCGTCACCGTCAAGTGTGCGCATTGTGAGTGCAGCCAACCCCTTTTTAAACACTTTATTGCCCCTTTTAATTTTGCTCATATTCGCCGAATTTCGGTTCTTAACCGCCAAACTCGCGGTGAAGTGGAAATTTTGATTTGTTTAAGGGGACTGTTGTTTTGCCTCAACGTCAGGTGCTGATGGAAATAAAATTTAATTATTTTGCATTAAGTTTTAATATTCAAAGATTTTATTCTACTTTTAAGAGTTTTAAGTCTTGTATGTGGGTTTAATTTTGGTTTGATTAGAATTATTTTTTTTATTTTTAGATACAGATTCTTCTCCTACCAGAATAACTTGAAGCCAACAAGCAACTCTGACGTCTGAAGAGCGTGTTTGTATATTTTCCTAGGATATGGGATTTTGTGTCAGGTCTGTTTATCCGCAAGGAACAGATTTTCCCATCAGTAGCAAAGGGCACGCACCTAATAAAATCACATCCATATTTTCCCATCACGCAGCAGGATGAAAGTCTATGAGCTCGAAAATTAAATTAGCATATCAAAGGAAATCCATACCTTCCCCATTTCTCTGTATCCGACACGAGGTGCGTATCAATGCAACATTGGATTAAAGGAAAACAAGCAAAAAATATTTTTTGATCTTCACGCTTGATTCTTCTCTTCGGCGGGTTTCTCTTTTTGGGGTTGTCCCCACGGCGGAGAGACGCGTGTGCATCTATTCCGGCCTGTCTATTGCGCCGAACCCTCGCCCGCGTGTCCCCTGAGATGTGTGCCAGCCAGGCGATCTCTTTGAGAAAATCCCTTCTCGCTCTCACACAACACAGTACAGCAGCGAAATAAGAAGAAAACACACACGCACTTTCTTGCTTTTGATATTCAGCTGCGGCGGCTCATTCTTTTTCCTTTGATGGAATTCGTGATAAAATAAATACACTCTAACGCAATTCCTGCCAACAAAAGGACAACGCGAGCTTCTCTCCTGCTGGTGTTGATGCCGAGTGTGAGATCAAAACTAAAATATATACGGAGAGAGATGAAGCTCACTTATTTGAGAACCCATTTTTAAATTATATAACAAACCATTTTAAAAACATTAACAAAAGTTCATAATTAATATTTTTATCTGTTTTTGATTCAATATTTATTCTTAATTTTATTTTTATAGCGCATTTAAAATATAGTTTGTATAAATATTATGTATTCAACTCTATTGATTTCTTAAGTATAATTGAAAAATTTGTAATCTATAAAAATTAATTTTTCCTGCCATATACTATGCTTTATATTTTGATGCCTTGAGCCCCTTGAAAGGTAAATATCCTCCGCTGGGATTGATCTTCCTATTTAATTAATTCTTTATTTAATTACTTGAATTATAAAGTAAAAGGAACGTAATAAAAATAACTAATAAAAACCATGTCGCGCTTCTCTGTAATACAAAAAAAATCCCTTAAATTAATTACGCATATATACCTATAATTTTATCTAACTACTTGGAACGAGTCTTTTTAGGTGCAACGACGGGGAAAAAACATTTATGGCTTTTGCTCTCCCTCCGGCCTGAGCAGCTCATCACTCTACGAAGACAAAAGTTTCGGTGGACATTAATTCCGTCCACTGTGCAAAAGCAATTTGCGCCGCAACAACAGCCTTCGAGAACTCTCTCCAATGCTGGTAATTTCATTACCGAACCAACCAACGTATGTGCCCGAGTTGCTAATGCAAGGGGCGCGCTTGATCAAGCGGCTGCATGGAGATTTGACACAAATAAAGGGAAAAGCATTTGGAGATATAGAAAAAGGGAGCAGGTTGTAAACATTCCGGCCGAGAGCGATAGATAAATCTTCATTGGCAGTTGCCTCAAAAGTTGGAGCCTTGTTTTCGTGCTCGCGTCGCCGAGAGACTCTAATCAAGTAAAAACTAAGCCATTAAATAAGTTTTGCTGCCGCCGCCATCGGTGGCCATTTCATCTTATTGTTCGATCTGCAGTCGCCAAGAGGCATTTTCCGGATACCTCCCGCAAAAGTTTTTTTATTAATACTGCATATCTGTTGGTCGGAGCCAAAAGAGACCCCCTCGCGCCCCCCAACGCCAGCAACCTCCAGGGCGTAGGAGAGAGATCTGCTTAATTAGATAATCTGCAGGTAACAAGGCAAACCTCTATCGGGCGAATGAAACAAAAATATCCCCGAGTAAGGTGAGCGCACCAGAGTAATGGCTTAGTGTGCGGTTTTATCTCTGCGCTGCATACGCACCCCTTTCGCTTTTTCCCTCCAGCCAAATCCATCTTTCTTCCTCGCCGAGCTTCCGCCCTCGCTGCTCTCTTTATATTATGGCAGCCAGAGCTGGCTGCGAGGAAACGTGTCAAACACTCGAGAGGTTTAGTGGCGAATTCGAAAATCAAACGCCCCATTTCGTGTACGGGCGCCTTTTGATGCGGAAAGCGTGTGACGGAGGCCGGGCTTGCGCGAGGAGAATTTTTTTTAGATGAAACAGCGAAAAATTATGAATAAGTTGGGGACCCGGAATTTCCTCAAAAGCATGAAAAATTAATTTTAATATAAAAAAATTAATAAAAATAAATCAGCTGTAAATAATAACTTTTTTATATTTATGAAAACGCAAGAGGGAAAATGTGATCCTGAAATTTCAAATCTCTAAAAATTAATAAACAATCAGAAAACTTAAAAAATGAATATGCATTTAAAAATTTCCATTCTTTATTTGGATATTTCTATATTAAATATGCTTTGAAAAAATCCAGCATTGAAATCCAGCTTCTCTGCCCAACCGGCAACGCCCAAGAATTTCAACAACAGAAATGTGATAATGTTTGCCAAGGAATGAAAAAAATGGAAATTAATGCCGTTTTGGAATTTGAACAATTATAATGAGACTTAATTGCATCTGAGAAAAAACTAAACAATTTTTTGTTATTAACAAAATGCAGGTCACGAGAAGCGGCAAAGTTCCGTGAGTTCCTCTTCAAGTAGAAAATAATAGTATAGTCGCTAGAATAACTTTACTTTTATATCTTTCATTTATTACCCGTGCACTTTTCTCGCCAACCGTAGTAAGCAGAAAAATGCTTCGCTTTCTTCACGACTTCTCCTAGCTGCTCTCCGCGGTTGGCAAAAAGACCAATTTTCTCCCAATGTCCAATGGACGAGCTAGTTAATAAAAGAGAAAGAAAAACTGGAGCGAGCCACCGACGTGTTTCTGGTTTGTGTTATTTACCCTCGACTCGACTCGACCGGACGGACTCCGCTGTCACCACACCAGCTACAAACGAGGTCGCCTCATCGGAGCTAGGCATTTCGCCCGCCACTGCTGTCAAGCAGGTTGCATAAGTTGCAAATTCACAGGCGTTAAATGAAAGCTGCGACCAATGAAGTTATACAGACCATTCATTTGCGGCATGAAATTCAAAGTTTGATCTAATAATAAATTTCCTCAAGTTGCATTCAAAACAATTATACAGTTTAAATTATAGAGTTTGAGTGGCAACTCATTACTACAGTTGCAAATTGAATATTGGGGATTTGAAGTGTTTTTTTTAATAATAAAAAAATTAAAGTATGGAATATATGGAACAAAGCTTTTCTATAATCTATAAACATTGCCGTGTATAAGTGATTATAATTTTTTATAAATATTTCGAACAGACAAATTTGAAGAAATAATGAAGTGAAAAAAAATTATTAAAAGTTGAAGTAGTTTAGTAATTCTAACTAAATGACTAAAATTTCATCAATGTTACCTTCAACAATAAATATATTTAAATTTTTCTTTAAATTATTTACAAGTTTCATCATATAAGCAAGAAAAAAAAATATAACATTTCCAAGCCTTTTGATTCCTGATGGTGATCTGGCCCTTTTCTATATATAAAATCCGACTCATACACCAAAAAAGTTGTGTTTTTTCCTATTTCCATGACATAATACAAATACGCACAGCAGCACAATAATTTGAGTCAATGTGATTTCCCTTTGAATATAAACGGAAACCCGGCGCGGTCAAATTTGCGGAGCCAAAACGAGCAGGCCGACCTTCTGCTCTTTTTCCTTGAATATTAAACCCACGTGTTGTGTGTATATGTGTGCGTTTGTCCGGCTGCTGCTTATTCAAAAAAGATGTATGCCAGATACGCGCGGTATTGACAAGCCAATATATCTGATTTCGTCTACCGTTCAAAGCCTTGCAGCCGACTGCTTTTTTCTAATGGTAAACGCTGCGTTCCACATTATTGTGCCTGACTGGATAATTTTTTAATCAGGAAAACTCGGCCTTCGCCGTTTGCATTCAGATATAGGAAATGAAAAAGGACGGCTGCTGAACTTCACCTGCTGGGAAAAATCTGACTGTTCATATTTGACGATGGAGAAAGAGCAGCCTCTCTTATTGTCCGAGCTTGAAGCGGCTGCATGTTATTCCACCCGTGTATTAATTTCCATATCAGCTACCAAAAACAACAGGCGGCGGACAAACAATAGCCTTCGTTGGCTGGTAGCACAAGCAAGTTTTCATATAAAAATATAAAGGTTAAAACCGATACCTGCGTCTATCATGAAATAAGCAGAGAGGAAATTAGGAGAAGAGTTCTAGAACATTTCTCAATTTTGAATGAGATATTTATATGTGGTAGAGTTTCAAGAGCTGATTCATGGTGATTAAAATTTAATTAAAGTCGGCTTCTCCTCAATAGGTTTTGCGAGTGGTTTATTGCTTAAGTAAAAACAATATTCTGCTCTATATATTTCAGAACTCATCGGGGAATAATTGCCGACTTTAAATCCAATTCGCCACGAGACAACTATAATCTTTGCAAAATATAAAGTTTTTTTTTCAGTTATGAAATTTGGTCTAGAATTCTAGTTCCAATAAACAAGGAGTGACCTACACAATAAAAGAGATTTTATTATATTATTTAGCTTCCACCTCTAATATAATTATTTTAATTGCAGACTGATGCAAGTTTTTGTATAGTTGAAGCCATCTATGTCAAGCTGCATCTACCATCTACCAGTTGTTTGTAAATCTCACGATGGTGTTGCCAGCTTGTGGATCAAGCTGGAAACAGCCTTTCATAAGGGCAAAGAGTGAAACTTTTATGCTGTTATGCTGGAGGTAAAATATCTTTGAGTTTTATAAAAAGGCAGCAAGGTAAAAAAAAATATTTTGATAATGTTCATTGATCTTCATAATTTACAAAAAATAAAATTATTCATTTATAATTTCTAGCAAAAAAAAATTGTGCACTTTTTTTTGCCATTTTTTTATTTGGTTCTATTGTTATACACTATATCAATTAAATTTTACTTTTTATTGGCATCGGCAACCTACTCCTAAAATAAAATATTTAAATAAGCTGTAGTTTTAATTACTGAGACCTTTGGGTGCAGACGAAGATGCGCAAATTTTGTTACGCAAGTCAAAGTATGATATGAGTTTATAAAATTAAAATCTTCCACAACCAATCTTAAAAATCAGCCTCCAAAGTGAATGTATGGTCGTCCTTGCTCTGGTTCTTGACTCCCAAACGCTGGTACTCTCCGACCTTCTTTTCGAAGAAGTTCGACTTGCCCTCCAAAGAGATGTGCTCCATGAAGTCAAAGGGATTTTCCTTGTTGTAGACCTACAAAGCAAATTGTCAAGATATATAATAAAACAAATATTACTAACAGTACCTTCGGGCAAGAAAGTTCTCCCAACAGTCGATCGGCAACAAACTCGATGTATTGTTTCATCAGATCACCATTCATGCCAATCATAGCAACTGGCAGGGCATCTGTAAGGAACTCTTGCTCAATGGCGACAGCATCAGTAATGATCTTGGTCACTTCCTCGACCGAAGGCTTCTGGACCAAGTGACGGAACATAAGGCACGCAAAGTCGCAATGCAGACCCTAATTAATATAATGTTAAAAACAGAGAATTATAACTTTTTTGTTCAATATTACCTCATCTCTGGAGATGAGCTCATTGCTGAAGGTCAGACCAGGCATGAGTCCTCTCTTCTTCAGCCAGAAGATTGAGGCGAAGCTACCAGAGAAGAAGATGCCTTCGACAGCGGCAAAGGCCACCACCCTTTCTCCGAAGGTTGCAGACTTGTGGCTGATCCAGTTCATGGCCCAGTCGGCCTTCTTTTTCACACAAGGCATGGTGTCGATGGCGTTGAACAGGAAATCTCTCTCTTTGGCGTCGGAGATATATGTGTTGATGAGCAGACTGTACATTTCAGAGTGGATGTTTTCGATGGCGATTTGGAAGCCATAAAAGCATCTGGCCTCAGTGACCTGCACCTCCTGGCTAAAGCGCTCCACCAGGTTCTCGTTGACGATTCCGTCCGAGGCGGCAAAGAAGGCCAAAATGTGCGAGATGAACTTGCGTTCGTCATCAGTCAAACTGTTCCAGTGTTTCATGTCCTTCAGAAAAGTCCGTTAAAAATTAGCGTTACGTAATAATTTATATAAACATGAAAACTTAATATTTTTGCAGATAATAATATACCTTTGATAAGTCAACTTCCTCCGCCGTCCAGAAAGAAGCCTCAGCCTTTTTGTACATTTGCCAAATATCGTAGTATTGGATGGGGAAAATGACAAATCGCCCTGGATTCTCTCTCAACAGAGGCTCCAACTGCGGGTCGAAATTCTTGAACTTCTGCTGCTTCTTCGAGACCTTGGTATTTTCTTTCTCATTCTGTAAAATCAAGAAATTCATGTATTCATGATGAAAATTTACGCTTGGCTTGCAACATTTTTGGCACAGGACGCAACGCAATTAACTTCCGGGGTAATTTTTAAGGTAAAAAATCGCAATTTCTCTCACCTTTTCGCCGATATTTAATTCCTCGACTCCGGAGATGATGTTTTCCTTGTTGATAATGTCAGTAAGCGGCATGATTTCTGTTAAAATTGGGCTAAAACTTGAATTTAATTCGGACCGGCTATATAAGTGTCTGTGCTGCTTGGCGGCAAAGGTGCAAAAGCAAACAAAAATCAGAATTTTAGCGCGAGTTGGACCGTCTGTCGCCCACTCTCATTGGTCACCATTGCAAATTACCCTATTACGTAATCACCATTTGGGCCAATGGAGGGCCTTCCCTCGCAGCTGCTCGCAGCCTAATAACCAATCACAAGTTGCAAAAGTGCCAAGAAATTTTGAAAATTTGCAAAAACTTATTATTTTGCAAATTTTATAGAGGACACTCATAAGCATTATAAAGTAATAAAATTTTAAGTATGTGTATCTGCGATAGCCAAAAATTAAACGATTTAAATGATTTTCCTAAAAGGGGCCACGCCCCCTTTTGACAAAAATAAAAACAAAAATCACATGCTGTAGCCAGGAAGAGGTGACCTTCTACAAGGTCGAAAACCTGTGACCAACGCTGCCCTTCATGCATTGAGGGGTTGGGTTGAGTTTACAACATTCTTCTGCAATGAGGAGCCGTACAAATTCTGGAGTCCGTCTGGACTATCATTACCAGAGATTGGTGCACAAACTTATTTTAGAGCACCAGGTTTGGAGAACAGAATTATGAACTGAAACTTTGATCGATAATTTATGTACTTTGCAGAATCCTGTTACTGGCTTGTTTCCTGCCAGTCCTGACAATAGCCATGCATGGATCAGGGACAATGTCTACTGCATTCTCGCTGTGTGGGGCCTTTCAATGGCTTACAAGAAAAACGCCGATATGGACGAAGATCGAGCGAAAACTTACGAGCTTGAGCAAGTATGGCGCACACTCATTGCCTTAAGAAAACATCACTAACTCACCACAACCTAAAGTTTTAATATTTTTATAAATAATTTGAAACTATCACATTTCACCAGTGTAGTTCGGAAAGATTTTTCCGAAATTGACATATTTTCCACAACCACCAGCTTTTATTCTATAGGCGATATTCATTTAATTATTTTTTCTCCTATATTTAGAGTTGTGTAAAATGCATGAGGGGACTCCTAATGGCAATGATGCAGCAGAAGGATAAAGTCGAGAAGTTCAAGATCAGTCAAAATCCATTTGACTCGCTTCACGCAAAATACAGTAGCACAACTGGCCAGTCCGTCGTAGGTGACAGCGAGTGGGGTCACTTGCAAATTGATGCTGTTTCTCTTTACCTTTTGATCTTAGCCCAGATGACTGCTTCAGGTAAATAATTAAGTTTATAATTAACGTTAAAATCAAAATCAATACTTAAATCCATTTACAGGATTGCAGATTGTTTTCACTCTTGATGAGGTAGCCTTTATTCAGAATCTCGTTTTTTACATTGAATCTGCTTATTGTGTCCCGGACTATGGCATCTGGGAGAGAGGAGACAAAACCAATCACGGCTTGCCAGAACTGAACGCCAGCTCCATCGGCATGGCCAAGGCTGCCCTCGAGGCAATGAACGAGCTTGATTTATTTGGTGCTAGAGGTGGTCCGTCCTCTGTCATTCATGTTCTCTCAGACGAGGCTCAGAAATGCCGTGCTGTCTTGCAATCTATGCTACCAAGAGAGTCAAGCTCCAAAGAGCTGGACAGTGGTCTCTTGGGCATCATCAGTTTTCCGGCTTTTGCTGTTGACGACGTTGAACTCATCAGACTCACAAGAGGGGCCATTGTCAGCAGGCTGCAGGGCCGCTACGGCTGCAAACGTTTCCTTCGAGATGGCTACAGAACTCCTAAAGAAGTTAGATTATTATCTTATAATAAATTATAATGTGAATTAAATTTCTCAAATTTTAGGACATGAACAGATTGTATTACGAGCCCTGGGAGCTCCGTATGTTTGAAAACATTGAGTGCGAGTGGCCTCTGTTCTTTTGCTACCTCATTTTGGACCATCACTTTCAGGGACAGTCAGAAGTAGCCAGGGAATACACAGAAATGTTAGAAGATGTAAGATTCTATAATAATTTCAAGAACGGCTTTTTTTATGAAAGAATAAATCATTTATTTTAAACTATTTTTTCCTATTTAAGAAAATGATTCAAACTGATGAAGGCTTCAGTTTGATTCCCGAGCTCTACGCAGTCACTTCTGATGGTGTTGCAGATGAGTACAAAAATCCAGGCAGTCAGCACAGGGAAGCTGTTGGAAGGTGTCCATTTTTGTGGGCACAGTCCTTGTACATCTTGGGAAAATTGTTACAAGAAGTAAAATATAATTTGGTGCATGATGGAATGGCATTTTATTTAATAACAAACAGGGATTTCTTGCTGTTGGAGAACTGGATCCTCTGAATAGACGACTTTGTTCTGAGAAGAAGCCAGACGTGGTTGTTCAAGTTGTCGTCTTGGCTGAAAATGAAGATATAAAAGAAAAATTAGCCGCACATGATATTCACGTCCAAACTATCGCTGAGGTTGCTCCCATTGAAGTACAACCAGCCAGGGTGCTCAGTCATCTTTACACTTATTTAGGCAAGCTATTATTTACATCATCATTTTATCAAAATATTTGAATATTCCGTCATTACATTTGCAGGCCGAAATCGCAAACTTGGGTTGTCTGGAAGAAAATCTCGAGACGTTGGCATTTTGAGCACAAGCAAACTTTACTCTTTGCAGGACAGGCTATTTGCGTTCACTCCTCAGGTTCTTATTTTATCTATTTTGGTTAATTTTTTTTCAATATGTGTTTTTTTAGTTGACAGATTTGCAAAAGTTTTACATTGCCAGTGACAACGACCTAATGATTGACATTTTTAAAAGCGAACTAAATTTCTTGAAATCCAGCTGGCAAAATATGCTTGGAAGGCCACTGGTAGTTATGGGACTTAGGAACATGCATTTGGGTAAAAAAACCTAACCAATCTGAAATTAAAATTACATTGTCTTTATAACAGACCAAGATAAAGTCCCCCTTGGTATGTTAAATACAATCAAGAAATTAAAAAGTGGCTACATCAATGGAACGAGGGTGGCGCTTGGCAATTTAGGTGACTTTGTCAACACATCTTGCATCACTAATTTGAGCTTTTTGGGCAGCCAAGAGGATGGAATGCCTGATAGTAAGTCGTTTGCGAGTAAATTATAGTGTTAAAAAATGCATTCTCTGTAATTTAGAACTGAACCCACAAGTTGAGAACTACCTGAATGATCATTTGGTCAAATCATTGTCTGCGAGGCCAAAAATCTTGGTGCAACCAAGTAGGAGAAATTCGAGGCCCATATCGATTCAAAGAAAAGAGTCGGTGAGAGGACTAGTGAAGAAAACAAGATCCATCAAAGTGGATGGTTAGTTATAAGAATAATTGCAATATCTCCATGGTTGATTGTTCTGGGTTTAGGAGAGCACACAGACAGAAGGATTTCTGTTTATGCATATCCACCGTTACCAGAAGCAGAGAGGAGCCCATCTCCAACAGAGGAAGACTTGAGCTGGAAAACAAGCGGTGCAAGACAGAGGTGCATTTCTGAATCACATTATGCCGATGCTGAAGTTGAGGAGATGATGATAATGCTGCGAGATACAGAAAACTTAGAGGAACAGGGAGATATTTTACAGTATCTTGTTGACACACATGGAATCGATTTCAAAACTGGTACAGTAAGATATTTAAAATAAAAAAATCAATATTTATTTTTAATTAATTTGAAGGAGAAACTGACGATGGTCAAGATGTTTCTGTCAAGGATCACATGAAAGTCTTATTCGAAAAGGCTTGTCAGCAAAAATTGTGGAGCATTGTGCGCCACACTGCTGGTAATATTTTAAAAAGTTAATTTTATTGAAAAAAATTAAAATTTTATTTAGGGATGCTTGGAAAGCGAGTAGAAGATTTGGCCAAAGCTGTGACTGATCTTTTGGTGCGGCAGAAACAGATCACTGTTGGCATGCCACCAGCTAGTGAACACACCATCACAGCTCCTCTCCCAGAGGCAGACCTGCGCCACCTTATTCACCAAGCCCATGGTGATGATGAAAGCACTGCCATGCTGACTCAGGAGCTTCTCATTTACCTAGCAATGTTTATTCGAACTGAGCCACAGTTGTTCCATGAGATGCTACGACTTCGAATCGGATTGATTATTCAGGTTATGGCCAAGGAACTTGCTAGAAATTTGAAGTGCACAGGAGAAGAAGCCTCAGAGCATCTTCTCAACTTATCTCCGTTTGAAATGAAAAATTTGCTGTACCACATTGTTAGTGGCAAAGAATTTGCTTTAAACTCTGGTAAATTGCAGCAAATTTATTTTCCTGAAAAGTTATTGAAATTTATTTCATTAGTCGCTGGAGGAAACTTCTCTGTCATCAGCAGCAAATCAGGAAAAGTGAGCAAGAGGAGCCAAATAGGTAGCCTCGTGGCTAAAGACGATACGGAAGACTTGGATTCCGATAAACAGGGCCAGTGGCTTCGTCGCAGGCGCCTTGATGGTGCGCTAAACAGGGTACCTCGGGGATTTTATTCCAGAGTGTGGTCCGTTTTGGAAAGGGTAAAAAATGTGCAAAAAAGTTGGACGATTCTCTATATAGATTTGAAAATTGTAGTGCCAGGGTCTTGCTGTTGAAGGTAGGGTGCTGCCTCAAAATCTAACTCAAGAGGTAAGTTGAAAATAAAAATATTTTCATAATTTTTTTTTAAACATAATATTTAGATGACGCCAGGGGAGCTGAAATTTGCCCTTGCAGTGGAGACAGTTTTAAACTCTGTTCCGCTGCCAGAATATCGACAGCTGATTGTTGAAGCGATGATGGTTCTCACCCTTTTGACAGAACACAACGTTGCAAACCACTTGGGTGGAATAATAGCCGTCGAGCATCTTGTGCACCGCGCTAATCAAATTTTCCTTGAGGATCAGGTAATGTTGTTGATAAAAAAACAAGAGTGCAGTCGATTCTCAATTTTAGATGAAGGTTAACGGGGATGCAACTCTCTGCTGTGCAAAAACTGTGAAGGAAACAACCTCTAGTGGAGGACTCTTGTGCGGAGGCGCTGCATATATTTGTCAGCACTTTTACGATAGTGCCCCAAGTGGAAGCTATGGCACTATGACCTACATAACAAGAGCTATGGTCTGCTTGCTTGATTGCCTCCCAAGAGAAGGAGATATGGATTGTGTTATTAGTTAAAAAAAATAACAGTGCCGTCTTGAAGTCAACTTACAAATTTTAAAAGAAAGCAACTTATATAGCCTTGTTCCATCCTGTTTTTCATGAGTATCATTATATAAGAAATTTAACTGCGGTTATTTAATTGTGTGCCATTTAGCAAAAGTCTTCTCATTTCTCAAATACCACTTTTTCATCTTCTTAAAATGCGCCAATATTTCAATTTTTAAAAATACCATTATACTCAATAATCGATCAATTATTGTACCATGGGCTCCACCTGAGGCGCACCGCTTCGATCGTTTTCATTTTTAATTCAGATCAAATTTAATTAGATAAAGTCCAAATTTTACAAGATCAATTAAAATAAATAATAAATTAAACCAGAGAAGGAGAAAATATAAATACTGAGATAGCGACAAAGGAATTGCCCTAAGAATTCATAGCTGTCTCATGCAGCTAACTGCATGAAAACATCGATTAAATTATCAGCTCAAATAAATATATTACAGGTTTAAAAAAAAATTGATTTGTGGTCAATTTTGATAATCTATTAAGACTTGCATTTTATTAAGTGAAAGAAACCTTGGTCTTCAGCTGCTTCAACCACGACCCTTCGTCAGAACTACAATTCATAAATTACATATTAAACCATACAAAATAAATGTCAGATATTTACCTCTTGTGTGCATCTGGATTATCTCGTTGTTCTTTCAAATATTCAATCAACTCCATTCTGTACTGATTTTTCAAAGGTACTGGCTCTTCTTGATTATTTGATAGGTGATTCTTGATCATTGCCTCTCTCATAGTCAACCCATACCACTCTGCCTCATCCAGCTAATACATAAGTAAAAAAACGTCAACTGCAATTTTGATTAAAGCAATCTAACTTACAGGCACAGTGTAGTCCTTGTATTTTTCAAGAATTGCTGCCTTTTTAGCTGGATCTTCAGGATAGAAATCTTGTTTAGCCAGAGCTAGCAGTATCTGTCTCTTTATTTTTATTGCGAGATTGGATCTAAGGTCGCATGCTGGAGACTGCAGAGAAATACATCTTAAATAGGAAATTGTTTTAAGGAAATTGTTTTCACCTTTAAAATGTAATTGTCGAAGCCTTGGTGATGATGGACAAGTTCGATTAACTTTCTCGTTGCAATCACTGACATGTATTTGTCCAGAATTTCACTGTAGACGACTGTTTTGAAGATATCTGGAATCCACCACCTAGGAACTCGGCGCTTATTTTCCTTCTTCTGCATATACCCTTTGATGATGGCTTCACCTCCGAGCAGCATGTTATCCAATTCTGGTGTCCATATTGTTGGAATTGGTAAATTTATGACACGATCCCTGTAAGAAACGAAATGTAAAAACACATATATTAATGCGCAGTTCAAAAAAACTTTTAATTTTAAATAGATAGATAGAGATAGAGTATTTATTGAACACAACTAGGTGTACAACGGGTGTCTAAAGCTAATTTGTCTTCCTAAAATTAATTTTACAATTAAGCTTGTTTCGATAATTATTACAAAGTACAAAATTAGTTAATTTTGATTTTTGCAGCCTCTCTTAGGCTTAGTTTTCGTTCATTACATTCAAGAATATGATATTGTGAACATTTCTTACCGCAGTGCTTGCATTCACAATCTATTGTCGCTTGAGAATGAAAATTTTTATTCTTACAAAATAAATAGTGGTACCCGTGACAGGCAAATCTCGTAAACACTTGGCGATCACTGAACATTGCACATTGCCAATTTTTATTCTTCATAGTTTCTGTCTCGTAGAACTCATCACATATCTCAAGTTTGTTTAAATATTTAGACACACAAAATTTCTGGAATGCTTCAGTTTCAGTTAGAGAATATTTTACCTGTAAGTCCGATACAAAGAGATCAGTGTCAACTAATTCATACACAAATCTAGATCTAATATACTTGGACAGTCCTAAAACTCTTTTTAAATATCTTGTTTTGACTTTTTCAAGATTTTCAAAATCAGTCTTTGTTAGGAAAGGCCATATTTCTTCAATGCCGTAGGACGCAATTGGGGAAATTTTTAGATCAAATAGCTTGTGTGCTGTTTCAATGGATAATTGTTTTAGTTCTCGTATATTATAAGTGGCCAGCAATGCAGCTCTTGTTCTTTTTTCAATGTGCTTTCCAAAAGAGATTCCTGATGGTTGAAAAGTAACTCCTAAATATGTAAACTCAGCAACTCTCTCTATTTCAATTCCACCTAAATCTAGGCGGTCACTTAATGCATATTTTCCTAGACCCTTATTTCTAAATTTCATGAATTTGCACTTTTCCAAGTTAAGTTTCAAACTGCGTTTTAACAAAAATTCTTTCATTCTGGCTAAAGCAATTTTCAAGTCACTTAATTTTTCTGAGGTTAAAACAATATCATCTGCATAATAAATGGCTTTCACGTTTGGCAAATCTCGTAGAATATTATTTATATCAGCTAAAGAGTAATTGAACAGAAATGGGGACGTGCATCCCCCCTGTCTTACCCCATTTGATTGTGTAATAAGTTTTGATACTGTTACTCCATCTACTATTCTCAAGAAATTTAAGTCTAAGTTGTGAGCTAAATAATTTAACTCCGTGAACGTTAGCTTCTTGCTTTCTATTAACTTCTTAAAAATAAACGCCCTATCTATTGAGTCAAAAGCTTTACTTACATCCAAAAATAAGGCATATAAGGGTGATTTCTTCTTATAAACTGTCTCTTGAATGTTATTAACTAAGGACTTAATTGCCTGTAAAGTGGATTTTCCTTTCACAAAACCATATTGATTGCCTGGAATCTCGTGAATCAAAGATGAGTAGATACGTGCATGCAGTACACGATCTAACAGATTGTAAAAAACCGAACTAATACATATTCCTCTATATGAATTTGTATTTTCCGCGTCCCCTTTTCCCTTATACAAGAGTTTTAGATTTGACTGCCTCCATTCCTCTGGACATGTTCCTAGCTCCAAGCATTTGGTGAAAAATTGCGTTATTTCGGGGAGTAAGGATTCAACAAGTAGTTTAATATTTTCATTCTTCACTTTGTCAGGTCCAGGGGATTTCCCGTTTTTCATTTTCTTTAATGCTAACAAAACTTCTTCTTCCATAATAGGTGAAAAATTTATATCATTTCTGTAATCTACTATCATCTCTTTCAGATTTAAAGATTCATTTTCACTCAATTTTTTCTCGTTGAAAATTTTTTCAAAATTGCACTCCCATTCATCCATCATTATATTGTTTGTATTGTAAAAACTTTTGCTCAACTTGAGAACTTTATAGCACTTATTCTGCTCCGCCTCTTTTAAAATGTCCAACTCCTTCATTTGCACAAAAGCGTTCTTCTTCATTTCACACACATTTTTGTAATTTCTTTTTATTGCGGTATAGTGCGGTAATAGAATCTTGATTATACTAGTTACATTTAAACTTTCAGCCACTTCCAAGCACTCTCTCCATTCGTTCAATTTCTGTTTTAATTCGTAGCATTCAGAATCAAACCACGGTTGACTAATCCGTTCAGTTTGCCTACGAGGAATGTCGGCCTCTTTCATAATATTTATCATATTTTTATAAAACTCTTCAACGTCCCCCTTTTCCAGATTTGTTCTTAGAATATTTTTATATTTAGTCTCAATAAGCTCTTTAAGTATGTTTTCATCTAATTTAAAATTTTTCTTATTCAAAGACATGTCCCCATTTCTGTTCTTTTGTTTTGTGAAATTAAATTCTATTGAAATAAAATTATGTTTTCTTATGGTTGGGCAAATTTTAAAATTTTCGGTGTAAATTTTTGGCCCTTTGAAGATTAAATCAACCACACTATGACCATTACTACAGTCGTAGGTACTTTTATATGGATATTCATTTACTATTGTCAGACTGTTTTCCTCAGCAAAATCAAGCAGCGAGTCAATTTTTCTGTTTTTAGTATCCAGTCGGCAATTAAAGTCTCCAGCCAAAATGAAATTTTCAAAATTTTCAACATATTTAAGGATTGAGAGAAGTTCATTAGTCACTGTTGTAGAACGTATCTTCGGATTTAAATAGCATGTTACTACTGTAATGTCATCAAAATTTAGAATTATGAAGTTTTCCAAATATTTCACATTTAGTAAATTTCCTAACCTAGAATTAAAATACACGGAAATTCCCCTCATCGGTCGCCCTGCCTCCTTTTGTGAAGCTAAAACTTGCCTTGAATAAAAACCAGGAATGTGAAGTGGTTTCTTTAAAAATGTTTCCGTGAAAAGAAGAATATCATAATTTTGCAGTTCTGTTGCAATCGGAGATTCATATGCTTTCGTAAGCCCTTCACAATTCCAAAGCCCTAATTTTAAGTTACTCACGTCGCTGTTTCGACAAGGGAAATCTATAAAGAAAGTTTCTCACGAGCACCACAGTTGCGCTTGCTTCTCTCCCTGGGTGCAACAGTCTGCGAATTAGGGGCATCATTTAGCTGCTCTCCGTCATCCGGCTTCCCTCCAGTCTCTTCTTCTTCCTCTCCGGCCTCCTTTGGGTTGAACAAATTCCCACAGTTTCCCCAGCGTTTGGAGACATACTTGTTGTACAGATGAACAGTGACAGGGACATCTCGAAGTTCTTCGTACAGAGTGTCCAAGACCCAGAGGCGATGCAGCCTGTCCATGCCACTGCACATGTAGGTCATTGCAATCTCGTCAATCTCTTCCTCTCGAATGACTTGGGCCAGCTTAGCAAATGCAGTCTTCACTCCCTTTAGGAAAGGCTCAGGTGCTTTGTGCAACTTGTGGGGGGACCTCATTTTAGTTACCACGTGAAACACAGTACCGTACTTTTCAGTCTTCTCTCTGATGATTCCGCCTATTTCAGTCTTTCCCGGCTCCGCTTTTGGTTTGCCCACCGCCGCCGTAACCTCTTGTGCAGCCCCCATGCTGGTCCAGAGATCAGAGGCTATGGCGTGTGCCTTTATCTCTTGCTTGGCATCCAGTAGACTGACCCCTTGATGTTCAACAAACTTGACCTTGGCTCCCTCCACTGCGAGCGACTCATCATTCTTCATGGCCTCATCGAGTTGGGCAGAGCGATCGATGTATTGGTTCACGCAGGGTGTGTCATCAGCCTTTGTCAGAGGAGCAATTGGTGGATAATAACCTCTCTGATACCTGCCGTGAAATTGCCTCCGTCTGTTATCTGTACCGCTCGACTCATTTTCTGCATTCTTCTCGTAGAAAAGGACCTTCCGCTCAAGCTCCCTCAGCTTAGCCTCGTGCTTCTCATCTCTCTCCTTCCAGGACAAACGTTCCTTTTCGAATTCCTCCTGCATCAAAGATACTGTTTTACTGAACATTTCGCCAAGTTGGTCATTCTGAATTTTGAGCTGATTTGAGAATTGCAGCGTGACATGCTGGAAAACACGCTGAATGATTTCCTCCAACGTTACTACAGCTCCCGGAGGAGCCGGACCTCCTGCATAAGTCTGTCCAAAACCTCCTGAGTTGAGAACTGGTCCATTGTTTCCATTTTGCAGAGGGTTTGGCGCCATCTCCTGTCCGGGGGTGGGTGGAGTTCCTTCGGGCCATGCTGGATGATGGAATTTTGCTCTATTTTCTGTATGTCCGTAAGAAGGGCCACAATTTATGGGTGGCTGGGCAGCGTACCCTTGTGGTGACCTCCACGGCACATGTGCAGATGCCATGGCCTTCAACTCAGGGAAAAAAGGCGAAATTAGACACACGACCCTCCTAAACCAGTGTTTTCCTTACCGAAGCAGTGCTGCCAACCCCTAATTTAATTTAATTTTAAATAATTACGCTTTTCCAGTTTCAGGATTGTACCGGTACCGACCCTCCTCCGGTCTGTAATTCACTGGCGAGGGTTCATTGAATTTCCACTCGGCGTAAAACTTGTGGTAGGCTGCGGGTAGATTTTTGTAGGGTTCTCTCTCAAGCATCGGAGGTATTCTTGCTTTCAAAAGCTGCAGCGATTTTGCAAACCTTGCCACGGTTAAGAATACCATCCCGCTGGTAATTTATGTAGTGGTACAAAAATATTGTAAGCAAACAGCTCTGGTTGTCCTGTAAAGATTCATAAAGATCGCAATGTGGTTTAATGTGGTTTTATTTATTTATTTTATTTAAGAAGAAAATTGGATTCTCTTTTATTCATTATGTATTTAAAATAATTATACTAAAAACTGAAAAATATTTACCGGCAATTAAAAAAAAAATGCGCTATGTTGCAAAAATCTTGGATGTTGTCTTTGGGTGTTCTTCCGCCCACGCCCACTTTTGGTCACACGGCCCGGGGTCAACAAAGGATTAGTGCCAACTTACAAGAAATATTTGAGAAATTTCGAGCAACTTTTTATCTAATAAAATTCTTTAAATTTGATAATAAATCTATTACACTTTATTTATTCGTAAACAATAAATTATTTCGTCAAAAAATAATAAAAATTGGTTGAAATTTAAAGGGAACATTAATTGTTTTTATTTTGTTGTGTTGCATGCATTTGTGAAATACGGGCTTCGGCTTCATTCGGCTTGCTGGGCTTGAATGTGATGTGATTGAAGGGAATGGGAAAGAAAAGAAGTGAATGAAAGGGTTGGCAAGATGGCTGAGTTTATAAGGGGTGGTGCGGGTGTAATTCCAGTCAGCAAGGAAAAGCTGCACGGTTCTCCAAGCACCGGCAGCGAGGATGGTCAGGATGGGTTGGCCGTCGACGAGTTCGACCCCTTCCTGGCCGACAACGAAGAGGCCGAAAGCAGCAACGCGTCCCTGCTGGGCGCACCACACGAAACTCAGTAAGTCCAGTCCTATCCCAACCTCTTCGCTGTTTTATTCATTTAGAAAAATGTGCACTAACATTTTACATCTGCAGATGGTACCATGGCCGACTGGACAGATACACTGCCGAGGAACGCCTGTACGAGGCCTCTAAGTTGGGTAGTTACCTCATAAGGGAGAGCGACCGGAAACCCGGCTCATACGTCTTGTCCTACCTTGGCCGGACGGGCATCAACCACTTCCGAGTCACTGCAGTATGTGGAGACTTTTACATAGGAGGTCGTCAGTTTGACTCGCTTTCCGACCTCATCGGCTACTACACCAATGTCACTGACCTCCTCAAGAAGGAACGCCTCATACACCCTGTGCCACCACCAGAGCCTGTCAACGACAAGAAGAGGATCGTTGCTATCTTGCCATACACCAAAATGCCAGACACTGATGAATTAAGGTTCGATTAAATTTTTATTAAATGTAAGGTTTCGTGCAAATATTGTTATTATTTTTAATTTTGCAGCTTCCAAAAGGGTGACATCTTTTTTGTCCACAACGACATGGGCGATGGTTGGCTTTGGGTCACAGCCCATCGGACGGGAGAGCAAGGGATGATTTTCAGGGATCTGGTTGAAGATTTAGCTGACAACATTGATCCTAATACTGTTTTCTCCTGGTTTCACCCAAATGTGACTAAAAATGAGGCTGTCGACATGCTGGTTAAATGTAATAACACTAATTTTTCTATTTTTCACCTGCAGTACTGAAGGTTTAAATTTTAAATTTGTTTTCTTTTAGCCGGCCCAGGCAGCTTTTTGGTTAGGCCGAGTGATAACTCTCCAGGGGACTACTCGTTGTTCTTCCACATCAACAATCAAATCCAAAGATTCCGTATAGAAAAGAAGGGTGTGCGCTACTTGATGGGAGGCAGAACCTTTGAGTGTCTGGACGCCGTCATCAACAGATACCGCAAAGAGCAGATTGTTGAAGGCCACACCTTAATTCAGCCGGTTGGTAGGGTTAGTGCCCTTGTTTATCTTGGGATGTCTGGCCACCAGTTTTTAATACATTTTTCTAACCAGAGGTATTGGATTTTAAAATTTGCTTAATGAATACTAATTTTTTTTGTTTTTTTTTTTTTGTTAAAAATGACATACTTAATTAAGAATTAATTTAAGAAAAATAAATGTTGTACAGTTTATTCAAACGAAACATAATGTTTAAGTGTTTTTATAAATTTTCATAAATATAACGCAAGATTAATTTTTTAATAAGATACTTTTCCATTATTATTTTTTAGCTTGTCTAGTCTAGAATTTTTGTTCAGCTTTATTATACTTCTTTGCATCCAATACCTTGTGCTCTGCCCAAAGGAGCCCATTTTAATGCTTCAAATTTTAGGCTCTTAGTGAAGCTGATGAAGCATTTGCAAAGCCAAAGGAAATAGATCATGCAGAAAAAATTTATGCTACTCTCAGGGAGTGCAGAGAACAAGTCGGACTAAAGAAAAACAAAGGTTAGTATCTTAATGTTTAACGTAATTTAATACTAAAATTTTCATTTCGAAAGGAATCAAAATGCAAGGATTTTTGAACAAAAAAAGTGAAAAGAACAAAAAGTGGAAATCCATGTTTTTTGTCCTTCTGGTCGAAGGAAGCGATACTCACTTATACTTTTACGACAACCCCAAAAGGACGAAACCCAAGGGTCTAATAGATCTTAGCTGTGCTTACTTATACCAAGTACACGACAGCGTATTCGACAGACCCCACTGCTTCCAGCTGGTCGAAAGGGCCCTTCCCTGCCTTGCCACTATCACCTACTTGTGTGCAAACAACGCTGATCTTGTACAAGTAAGGAAAGAATCAAGTGTGAATTTTGAAATTAAATATTCAAATTTTTAATCAGGACTGGATATCAGCTTTGAAACCACTTTGCATCACCCAGATGACTCGCTCACCCAAAGTCCAGCGGCTCAGAGAACTGAAATGCTTACAGCTTCACATTTTGGATGCACACAGGTAGAATGATAATGAGTCTTCAAGTTATTTGAAATTAAAAAATTGTATTTTCAGACTTCCTTTCAAGCTAGTGCCAAATCCTTTCTGTATTATATCCCTGAATCAAGTAAAAGTGGCCAGGACAAAAGTAAAAACCGGTTTGGATCCTGTTTGGGACGAGGAGTTTTTGCTTGAGTGAGTTTGATCTGCTTTCCAGTTGAAACAAATCTGATCATATTTCCCAATAGTGACATTCCGCCTGACGTCCTGTCATTTACAATTACTGTTTACAACAAAGGCAAACGATCAAAAGATACTGAGGTTGCAGAACTCACAGTGGATCTCCAATCATTGACAAATGGCGACGAGGTTTGCTTGAAAATTTAAAAGTAATTGAAATATTTAAAATGGAAACTTTATGAAGGTGGAAGAGTGGTTCAAATTTTCTGGCATTACTCCAATTGGCGAGTGGGGATCTTTGAGATTGCGAGTCCGCTATCTCCACGATTTGATCATGCCCCAAGAAGAATACTCGCCCCTACAGCAGCTTATTTTGGACCCTAGTCTTGAGGTGGTAAGGGCGCTGGCCGACATTTGCCACCTTGACCGCATCCCTCTGGCAAACTCGTTGCTACGAATTTTTAGGTTAATATTGCCACCTGATTATGTAGATTCAAGTGTTAAAAAAATTAATTTTACAGACATGAGAGAAAGGAGGCTGACCTCTTGAGATCTTTGAATGAGGCTGAAATCGAAAGGGAGCAGGAAACCTCTACTTTATTGAGAGCCGCTTCCCTGACGACCACTTTGATGGATTTGTATATGAAGTCCGTTTGCACTGGTTTCCTCCAAGCAGCAATTCAGGACACCATTTTGAAACTACTAGAAACCAAGCAATCCTGTGAAGTATATTTTCCGCAATGCTTTGTAGAGGTCTGTCCTATTTAATCAGCTATTTATGCAGTTGAACCCAAATAAAATGGACTCGCCAGACGATGCATGTGCAAATGCCGAGTTTCTGCTGCAAATTCTGGATGAAGTTACACATTCCATTTTCATGGCCTTTGACTCGTGCCCAAAGTAAAATGATAGGTGTGAAAATGAATTTGAAATTTTTCACAATAAAATAATTTCCAGGACTGTGAGGTACATTTGTGGATGTCTACAAAGGTCAGTAGTGAACAAGTGGCCACACGAGAGATTAGTTAAGACCAGAGTCGTAAGTGGATTCATCTTTTTACGCTTACTCTGCCCTGCAATTCTCAACCCCAGGCAGTTCAACCTCATAGCTGGTAAATAATTTGTATTTCTTGGAGAAATGACAATTATTAACGCTTTATTTTTTAGAGCCACCTCCCCAAATGGCAAGTAGATCGCTAATCATGGTGGCAAAGTGCCTGCAAAATCTGGCCAATTTGATTGAATTTGGAGGAAAGGAGCAGTACATGGAAGTGGTAAATCCCTTCATTTTAAAGAACAAGGAGAGGATGGTGGTCTTTTTGGACACTCTTTCGGTAATAGTTTTGAACAATAGCAGGCATAAGTATATAACTTTTTATTTTTATTTAGAATGTAACTGACAAGCCTGAACCTGAGGAGGCCCGAATCAAAGGGGACCCTGCAAGGGATCTGGGCACTCTTCACCATATTTGCTGCTCACATCTGAAAGAACTGCAAGCCCTATCAAAAGAACAGGTGAGATTTTTTTTTAAGTTTCATAATTGGTCATGGAATAGTTTTCTGTGTGAAAATTTACCATATTTTATTGTATTTATGCTAGAGATTTTGTAACAAAAATTAAATATTTTCATTTTAGCCCACAATCAAGAAGCTTGTGACAGTCACCGAAATGCTGAGCAAGCATAAACAGAAGTACATGGAGATGATCCGTTGAAATCTATGTGCTGCTGCATTATTCTTCTGCATTCGATAAGATTTTTCTGCATTTATTTACCAAAAAAAAAAAAAAAAACAAGATGTTCAAGACGATATTATTCAAAAGCTGAAAAAACTTGCTATTTGGCTGCTATGTGATTTTAAATTTCGTGTCGCATTTTTGTGGATCTTGTAATTATGTGTGTATGTACTGTAAAACTTTGAAGAAAAAAAATAGAGGATTGTGCAGATCATAAAAAATTAATCCCAAAATTATTTGTAAAAAAAGATACAAACTATTGTAGAATAATTAAAAAGTCCTTTTTATAGCCTATAATAAACTTCTATGACAAATCTTTTATTGCAAAAACATAATATGTACCGTGATAAATTTTCAATTTTTTCATTCAATTCCAAAAATTAAATTTCATTTTCATTTGCATAAAGATTGTATGAAAATGTGACACTGCAAATTGTCAATTTGAAGCTTCTTGTCTGGCCCATAGATGGCGTCGCTGTTGTTGTCGTAAAAGAACATCGTAAAAAAAATCATTCTGGATTTTGCACATGGAGATGGTGTGTAAATAATCTCTTTTGCGCTCCTGATTTTGTCGCTGCGAGGACAGCAAGATGATCTTGGACTTCGGTACCTCAAGGGAAAAATTCTTCTCAGTGGTTGCGTCCACCGGATACTCGACACACGGCTGACAATCCGCCAATTCCGACGAAAATGTGGAGCTGACATAGAGTACCCTTTAAAGCAGCACAATGAGCTCCGAGATGAAAGCCATGAGTTCCAAAATGCAGCACACAGGAGAGACCTTGGACAGCTGCAAAAGGTTTTTCAGGTAATGCAGCTAATTGCACATTTTGAACATGATCAAAAATAAAGTTGTCAACATTTTCAGAGGCATTGCAGAGGCGGCCCGCCAGTTGGAGGAACAGCAGTCGAGGGTGGCAAACATTTCGCAACTCTTCAGCACAGAACTGGTGGCCAAGAGGGCCAAAATCGTCGACCATGCTGCCAAACTGGCCCTCAAAGAGCCGAAAGTGTTTGGCAAGAAATGCGAAGACGTCTTCTGGAGGAAGATTTTCTACAGCGCATATGTGCGGGCCAAACAGCTAAAAAAATCAACCAAAATAGAAACCGAGGATTCGGCCTTGATCAGGCACTTGTTGGCCGGAGTTGGATTCTACCACAGCTTTATTCTGAAAGTCCAGGCCGAATATCAAGTGGACGTTACAGTGGATTTGGGCATCACGCCTGGAATGCAACAACTTTCAACTGGTAATTTATTTTTCTGCTGACAAAAAAATCTTATGTGGAGAAGATTATTTATATATATATTTTTTTTTCAGATCAAATCAAATATAAAAATCAAGATAGTTGCGGTTTAGAGTGGGCGGTGCAAGCACTGCAGAGGAGTTTGATTGCTCTTGGAGATTTGCATCGTTATCTGAGCACAATGTCGCCTACTTGGAGTGGAGTTCAGTCCGCAAGATTTTATGTTTTGGTAAAATCCCCATATTTTACTTCGTGCTATTTTAACTAATACTTGATCCAAGGCATCACAAGTGAATCCTAAATCAAGCATGCCATTTAATCAATTGGGAACTTTGGCTTCAGCCCAAGGCAAAAAGTTTGACGCCGCATACTTCTACCTTCGTTGGTATTTATATAAGTTAGACTTGAGATTGTATTATGATTTGCTGGTTTAGCCTGGCAAGTGAATCACCTTTTGAAGGAGCAGAAGCCAATTTGCGCCAGGCGCTGAAAAGTTCAACAAGTCAGCTGAAGGCTGGTTCCCGAGAGCAAGTCAAAGTGTTCTTGGCTAAATTTTTGAGTCTGATTGACGCCTGGTGGTTCAATGACAAAATCAAGGACATCAACGTGGTGAGCAGTTCTATTTGTGAAATTACTGTATCAGATTATTTATTTTTAATTGCCATAATAGATGTTTGAAGATTGCATAATGGAGTTCAAAGCCAACCTGACTCTTATCAAGCCAGTCGCCTTGTCAGCCACAGCTGCCGAGTCAATAGAAAATTTGTTCAAAGAGGAGTTGGAGACAAGTCACTTCAGCAGCGAACTGCTGGTCAAAATGATAGCGATCTGCTTGATGACCCACCATAAGCTGGAAAAGCAACGTGGGACTAAACAAATTACAATTTTTGTCATTTTCACAGTGTTAATTTTGTAGATCCTCTCCAAGCCTCATCCATGGTTGTGTTCATTCTGAATATTCTCAACTGTGTGACCAAAAAATTGGTCAACTGCTCAGCTCAGGTTGTGGAGAAAAAGCCTCCGGCTAAAAAGAAGCAGAAGGTGATGCAGAGGAGGAAGAAAATTGCTGGAAATTGTTCTGAGGGATCTGATGAGAGTGATGGTAAGTGTTGTTTTATTCATTCCATTAATTTGTTAAATAATGAAAATATTGCAGTCGAATCCAACAACCTGTCGGCTTCAAGTTCGGAATCTGACAGCGATTCCGTTGAGTCGGTGGCAAGTTCCAGTGATGAGGAGGAGGTGGAAAAACAGCCTATTCTAAAAAATCAGGACTTACCTGCTCTGGGATGCATGAAAATCTGCTGCGACTGGCTGCAAACAAATGAGAGCGTGCTTGGAATCTTCTTCGCTAATTTCCGGCCCTTGTTTGATGACTTCGTTGTATTTTTGAATGCAGTGGCACATGACTGCTCTTTGGTGCTAGAGAGTAATAGCAACACGCTCTCCTTTAGACAAAAAATTACATATGAATATTTGTAGACATAAATATAAACGGATCGTTTGAAGAGGTTCTCAAATCTATGGAGCCATATCCCCTGCCTGAGGACGTTGCTCTTCGAGGTCACGAGGTTGTTGATCAGTCATCGATAAATTGGTCGCTGTTCAATTCTTCCCCATTTAAAAGTGATGTGAGTATTTCAAATAGCAGCTTACACGGATAATTAATTTTCTTTTGCTTTAAAGATGTTAATCAGAATGATCAAGTTGGTCAGTTTTGGCATCTACATGACAAACTCCACTCTGGTGGGATTAAAATTTGATTCAGAAACAAAGACATTCTCGTCTGTCGAGAATTTCATCGCTCCCAAGGAAAACTCCAAACCTGTAAGAATTTATTTTCATTCAATTATAGTTTCAACAAATTTGATTTTACAGAAAAAACAGCCTCCAAATAAAGACCAACAGAAGAAACTGATGCAAAACATGGGGCAACTGTGGCTTCAGGAAGAAGTTAGAAACCTGGAGAGCAGGGTGAGCAGAAGCCAAGGCAACTGCACGTTTTCCCCTTACATCGTAGTTGACTCGTCAGCTCTACTCACAAACCTCCACCTAGTCAAACAGCTTGTTCTCGCCAGAAAATTTGTAGTTGTCATCCCTATCACAGGTTGGTCTCAAAAAATTTAAATTTCTTTCATCTCGTCATATGTGATGTTATTTTAGTTCTAGAGACTCTTGATGATTTGAAAAAGGAGAGTGCTAAAGCAAGGGAAGGGATTCGCTGGCTGGAGAGCCAGTTTCAAAAGGGAAATAGATTTTTGAGAGCTCAAAGATCAAACGAGGCTCTTAGTATTCCTCTCATTAAGTGTCCTAAGAAAAAGGACAAAGAAGCTTGGTAAATTAATTTCTCATTTTGAGACATTTTTGTTACAACTAACAAATTCTACAGGGTGTTTTTCCAAATCCTGGAGTGCAGTAATTATCTCTGTCAGCAAGTCTCGAGAGAGAACCAGTCGCCAAACACCAACCTGGTGACGTTGCTTTGCGGAAGCCTCGAGTCGAACCAAAAGGAGTTCAGCCCGACAGGTCTGGCAGCCTCAGCAGGTATATTTTGTATTATCGAACATAATTTAAAATTTCCTATAGAAAATTTGAGTGTTAAATTTGAAACAAAATGTTTGTTTTATTTGTTTTAGGAGTAAAACTGGAAACAATTTCAGAATTCTACCAAAAGTGGAAAAGTTCCAAGAAAAATGCTGGGTGAGATGTAAAGTTCCGACTTATCTTATTAGTTTCCAAAGGTTATATACTTTTGACAGTGTGTTAAACTTTTCAATTCAAAACAATAAAATACAGTTCAACTTGAGTGTAAATGGGAATCATAAATGAATTTACTTAATTAAAAACAAACAATCACCATGTATCAGGGGAATAATGTTTTTTTTCAGCAGTTCAGAGCGATATTGGTTTTGGGTATTCTCCTTCCTCCCGCTAGCTCTTTCTGTAAATTTTGATACAGGTCTTGTTTACTAGTAACAAATATTTGCACAAGCTAGAGGTCAAGCTTGTTTGTTTAGTTGTTCTTTTGTACACAATGGGAGTGCAAGATGGCCACAATCTTTGTCGGCCAAAATCGATTCGGGGGCTCTCTTGCTCTTCGGCCTGTGCTGGCTGACCAACCCACACATGGTGCACATCTTTGTGCATTTTGCACAGAGCAGAGGATGCACTTTTCGTGTCAACATATCAGTGGTCTGTGTGGTTTGCTAACGACCCCGTGCTTGCGGTTGACCGCAGTGTTTGCCACTACATGTTTAATGCAAAGGCCTGCTGCTGCCGCTGCTGTCCACTCCGGCATCTGCAGAATGAGAGAGGGCCGCCGCCGCATTCACCCCTGCGCTTGTTATGAATTGCCCAGCTCACCTGTCTAATTATAGTGAGGGGGTAGAGGGTGAGCGGCTAAATTGTGTAGATATTCGGCGCTGGCCCGTTTGCTTTTCCAACTTTTTATTTATTTTCAAATGAAATTGTACGGTTTTTTTTGCTTTCTTATTTTAATTTTGATCTAAAATTTTTAACAAAAAATATTTAGCTATTGTAAGTAAAGAATTTTGCAACAATATAAATTTAAAGTTTACTAATATTGCTATTTGTACATTCTCAAAATAATATTACTATTGTTGCAATTTTAATTTAAGATTTAAAATCGTTTGGGTTGAGGCCGAGAAAAATTTTAAAATGCTGAGCAGTGAAAATATCTACAACTTAGTGGCTCCTCTTCCGAGAGCCAAGAGCCCTGTTAGGTAAAAATTTAATTTCTAGAATTCTCCAATTTTACCATTTTTCCTACAAGGCTTTTTGTTAACAACGAACGAGTGGAGAGGTTCAAAGAACGCACCAAGAAGCTGCAGTCGGAGCACAGGACCATGGGAGTGCCTGAGGTTTCACTTCCCAAACCGGTAGACTTTCTCAAAAAGCAAGATCGGGACCATCGTCCCAAGCTAGTGACACTCGGTACCACAAATTTTTAATTCACACATTTAATATTTTTAATTCCGATTGTTATATAAAAAAGAAAAATCAGACCACGCTAGAGTTTGCGAAACGCTGGGCTTAGAAAGGAGGCCTCCTGTCCCTGACCACTTTTTCCAAGATCCTCGAAGGAGCCCAAGGGATTTTTGCTCTGAGAACGTGGAGTTCGCCAGAAACCTGATTCCTCCTGTTCCAAAGGAACGGATTGTGGTCGGCGCGAGAGGGGCGGTCGTCGATTTGGACACCACGGTCCTTCGCCCGAAATACTTAGACAAACCTGTAAAAAAATTAAAACGCCGTTTGAATTTTTTTTAATCCTTTTTGAAAGAACTTTGGCCAATTGCCGGTGAGTGTGGTCAAGTTCCAGGCCAAGGCCAATCGGGAGGCAAAGTTGGCCCAAGAATTGAAGGAATTGGAAGAGCAGCAAAAAACTCAGCAGCTCTTGGACAACAAGAATCATCTCCGCAATAGACTGGCGGTATCAAGCTTTTTTTTAATAAATAAAACTTTCTTGATATTTTCTAAAAAAGGCAGCAAAAGAGGAGTGGGACGAGAAGAACAAGGAGTTCCTCTTGCTGCCTGTGATTACTGACACTCTGATGACCAAGAAGAAGAAATACCTCCTTGAAAAAGCGCTGGCCGAACTCGAGGACGAGATCAACTGTCTGCACTACGAGTGCCAACTGGCCGACAAAGCGTGGCAGATTCACTTGGAACAAAATCCACCGGCCGACGTTTCGAAATGATCAAAGAGAGCCAGTCGAGAGGTAATAAACAGAGAAGAGCTCGGCAAAGAGAGGAAAATATATCACATAAATCTGCTTTTTCCACGGAATCCACTTAAGTGCATCGAAATTCGCCGTAATCTCTTTTTTAATAAAGCTGTCTGCGCAGTGAAGCTCGTCAAAGAGCGAGCGCCTGCTGATTGCGAGTTATGCAACCTGCCCGGCATGCAAGCGGAGCACGTTGCCTAGCAATGCTTTTGCAGGCGCTTTCGTACAAAAGCACCGTATTATTGCAGCACGTTGGAGAGTTAGGAGTGCTTTGTTATTGCAGCTACTCTTAATTAATTCAGTCGTCGGCCATTAATTTCAAAGAAAAAAGAATAAACATTAAATTGACCAGAAAATTAAGGACGTCCTTTTTTACAAAATTTATGACGTGTTTTAAATTCAAACGACATTTATTTTTTAAAGGTTTTGCCTCAAATTCTAAGCAGGCCTGTTCGTTAATTTTATGTGCAAGCACACCCCCGTGCAACCGTCGGCAATATGGCGGTTCGTCGGCAGTGTGTATTTTTATAAGAGGATTTGCAAAGTGCTTTCATTACAAGGCATAAACCACCATTTGTGTAATCTTCTTAGGCGATTTTTTACTTTAATGTTAGTCAAACTGCGAGCAAGCAGAAGAGCACCGCGGCGGCGGGCAAAGCGCTTTGCCTCTTCTCTCTCTCGCGCTTTATTTATCTATCAAAAACCGCACGCCCGCCCGTTCTAGTGCATGATATACACCGCAAACCGAGCAGCCGGAATCAACTCGAGTGTGATAATAATTTGAAACGAGCGAGCAGCGGAGGCGGAGAAGCACTCGCCGTCGAATTTAATGCAAACGCAGCGAGTCGTGAGAATTTGGGATAAGATTGCTGGTGAAAGTTCTTCGTTTTCTTTGATTCGTAATATGTATGAAGGCGTTAGAGGCTCCTCTTTTCTTGGAAAATAAAGAAAATGCGTAAGACTTGAAGCGAGAAAGTCAGAAAGTTACATTTCCAGGCACGCAGCGGAGCGTAATATTTCACATCTGACTTCATTGGAATTGATGCAAATATTTCCTTTTGGTCCTGAAATAAGAGGGAAAATTAGCGCAAAGTAATTTAAACTTTTTTATTCTAGATTCATATAAAGGATATTATAAAGAATATTCAATATAAATATGCCAATTATTAAAGTAAAAATTAAAAATATAGAAGCTAATTTTAACAAGAATAGAATAAAAACACTAAAATGTGTTGACGCATTTTTTAATAATGGTTAATTAATTTATTAAATCCTTTATTTTTAATGTTTACAAAATAAAACAAGGGATTTTCATATTGTGGGTCTCATAGTGCGGGGCCACGATTTACCAGATATTTCTAGTGTTACGTGTTACTCCAGTTCTTCTTTAACATCTCTTTTAAATTCCAATCTTTGTACATGTCTGAAAAGAGACTAAAATACAACATATATCAATTAAGAAAAAATTGATGTTGCATGTAATGTTTTAGAGCGGAAAAAGTTTTGAAATTCAAGCATGTTCGTATATTGCAGAAAAGGTTTAATGGAGAAATGAATTTTTTGTCATAAAATCATAAGCAACACCATAATGTTATAAATAAAATGTAAATTAATTTCTGCATTCACTAAATATTTTTTATCCACAATAATGCCATTGAAAAGGAAGTGTCACAATACGTTTATTTAAATCAAAATATGAAAATGAAATTTTAATGGTAAAAAAATTGATTGCTGATAAAACAAAAGACTATAAATTTTTTTTAATTATATTAAAATTTTTTTAAGTAAAATAAAAACCATCAAAAAACTGAAAAAACTGATCTGCTTTTAAAAATGTAAAAACGAGCTCATGAGTTGGCCAGCAAATTTATAGTCTTGTACAATATAATTTTATTTGGTTAACATCCAAAACACATTCACGCGGGTGAGACACGATCATTATAATGTGCCGGCACATATGCCGCCTTTAAATATTTTGTAGGCTCAATTTAACGCAAAGTGGCTGAAAATTTCATCGCACGCGCTTATATGTATACGCGAGGCAGTGCCTTTCGTTCGCTCTTTGTGTAAAAGCAGATAATATTCTTCGCATGCACGGCGGCGGCGGCAAGTTTTGTTAAGTGGGAACGAGGATGAGGGCCACAGTCTGCGTATAAATAAATTAAGCGCGGAATGAAATTGCGCTGGCTGGTGTTTTGACCCTACCCCGCACCTTTTATACCTAAGTATAAGCCGCACGAATGCTGCCCCGGCTGGCTCCAGTTATTCTTGGCTTGGCGGTCAGGGCCGGCGGTTTAACAGCAGGTGCTGTTTTTCTCTTCACTTGGTGGTTAAACTCGAAACTCTCATCTGCATGTGTTTTGATTCGCTCGCTCGACCCGTGCCGTCTCTCAATTAAATATTTAAATCGCCCCGCTCTGCTGCTCAACTTGCTAAACCATTTTTGCCACTAAAAAGACACGCTGCTGTATTATTATATATAAATGCAGGCAAACGTTTTCACGCTTGATACGTTTTATTTAATCTTTGTAAATTGGATCGCACACAAAAAGGACAATTTTCAATTTTCATCGTTAAAATTTTTTGGAAACCAAAATCAATTATTTTTATTCAATAATTTCCGTCAAAGAAAAAAAAATATAAAGTAAAATAATTCGATAAGAGATAAATGCATACATTGCAATATAGCAATATCGAAAAATTTTATTAATCTTATAATGACAAATTTGTTTCAGGTACTTAATAAATTGCATTATATTTAAAGATTAAGAAAATGTTTGTTTTTACATAAGTGATCAATTTTACTCTATTATAATTTTTAATATTAAGTTGTTTATTTTATGCAATTATTATATAGGTTTTTAGTTATAAATTTTTTTAGTAAAATCCAAATTGATCATTGTAATCAGCGGTAATCAGATAGTGAAAATTTTGATTACATTAAAATGAATTAAATATTCTTGTACTTCATATTACGTTTGTCAGTAAAAAGATTAATCAGAATAAATCAAAATATACGTAAGTTGTCTCCATTTGAATTGGTATCATAAATATTAAAATTTGATTAAATGAAAATTACAACAAAAAACAATAAATAGATACATATTTATTAGCAGCAGCTAAAGACTTTTTAATTTATAAGAATAAAAATAGAACTATATCAAAATATACAAATGAAATGCAAAGCGTCCAACAGATTAATTTTAATATGTATTTAATAGTAAAGCCGTTTAAAAAAATAGTTTCCCAAGTTTGCAGGAGGATGAATCTAATGTTAATTATTATTTTTTATTTAATATCTTGCCGTGTTCGCATGCTATATTTGCGCGATTTCTGTTGATGTCATCATTAATTTTCGTTTGGAACGTTATGGAATAGCAAATTGTATTGCGCAGCGTGTTTTTCATTCCGTGAAAAGCCCAGCAGCACGAGAAGATGGAGTGAGCGAGGGCGCTCAGCACTTTATATATATTTTAGTTATTTAATATTTCAAGAGAGTCCCGCCGGCTTGCATGCGAGAATGCTTGGGTGAAATAAATCAAGCCGTGGAAATCTGCGCAGAGCCCATTTTTCGCCACGGCATATTAGGCAAATAAAACAATAAATAAGTCACACATAGTGGGCCTGGGAGCGGTGCCAAGACAATATTTGAATGGCAAACAAATGAATAATTCAGGCACGGCTCGGAAACGGGCAGCAGCCGCGCGACAAAAACGGCAACAGCTCTCTCTGTGCCGCGCTGAATGCGCTGCTCATTTAGCGTGTTTCGCCGCCCATGCTGATTAGTGGTTTAATGGATTCAGTGCTCTTTGCAAAATAAAGATTTTAACACTGCGCGCGAATTCCCCTCACGTCGCCAGCCGTGTACCAACCTCGTGCACATACAAACAACCCACCGAGACCTTCTCCGTCGCTGGCCTCGACTTTTGGCGGCTGACGTGAGTGAGTCACGCCCGCGACAAACTTTTTGCCACGTTTATAGCTGCCGAGTTTGCAAACAAAGCCGCATTCCATCCAAGAATTAATAATTATCAGAAATTTAAGACACATAAAAGCAAAAATCTTTTTTATTTTTTAAAGTCATAATTAATTGGTGTATTTTTTTAAAGAACTGTAAGCATCTATTTTTAAATTAAAAATCATTGCTAAGTTAAAATTATAACTTAGCCAATTTTTATTTATAAATTTACTCATTTCATTTTTTATATTATTATTAGTTTTACACTAATCAGAAAATACCTTCAATGTTGAATTTTTTTGTTTATTAAAATTTTAAATAAAACAATGTCAAAATTACCGAAAAATGCAACTCATATAACCAAACTTATTTAGATTTCTATGAAGTTACTTATTACCAGTAACACATTATTATTTTATATATAAAAATAATAAATTTTTAAATTTAAAAACTTTCACATCAAAAACACAATGTTTATCAAACAAATAAATCAGTTGAAACTATTAAAAAAAAGCTAGAATTTTATTAATTTTATTAAACAAGTTTAAAAATATTATGTAAATTAAATAAAATATTAATTTATTATATAAAAATTTATTTCTTTTGTATTAAATTATATAAAAATAGATCAATATTTAAAACCACTTATTTGAAGGACCGTCTGAAGATTGCTCCAAATCCCAAAACAACCCTGCTGGCAGCTCTTTTTCCTCCCCCTGGCTCTCTCTCTCTCTCGCACTCTCACTGGCAACTTTTCAACAAACATCTCACGTTTTCCTGTTGTTGGGCGCGTTCGCTCGCTCCCGAGCCCTCGTCTGCTTTTGCTCGCTTGCGCTCCTGCTTTTTTATTTAGGCAAAGAGTTGAGCACTCAGCGGCAGCAGTGGCGTCGGCGGCGGCAGCAAACACGACAACTTTTTAAGCATTATGACTTAATAAAATATGCACTCCATAAATTAATAATAACGCACGCGGAGCGGAGCTGGGAGAAGAGGCAGTTGTGCATCCACAAAGCAC